CAGTCATAACACATCCACCAGACAGTCATATCACATCCACCAGAATGTTATATCACATCCACCAGACAGTCATATCACATCCACCAGACAGTAATATCACATCCACCAGAATGTCATATCACATCCACCAGAATGTCATATCACATCCACTAGACAGTCATATCACATCCACCAGAATGTCATATCACATCTACCAGAATGTCAGATTAAGCGACCTCTTCCTCAGATGGCTTATCCACACAAGCCGTGGTGCAGGTGGAAATCACAGATTTCAATGACAACCAGCCCAGATTTGAACCCAGGGAATACCCCATCAATGTGCTGTTAGGCTCGCCTCCGGCACAGCTGGTTACAGTCCAGGCTCGCGACAGAGACAGTGGCTTGATAGGAACAGGTGACTTACTCCATCACCGAAGGCAACAACCAGGGATTCTTTGCAATAAATGCAAACACTGGTAGGTAGAAATTGTACATGAGGGTTATAAGAGGCTGGGTTTTTATCTTTTGAAGAGCTGGAGACAGACAGGCAAGATTTTGACAGCGCTACAAGTGGGAAGATATCATTTAAAGATGGATGGAGAATGATCCAAGAGTAGACAACCAGGTGTCTGTGCATTAACTGCAAACAAAGGTATATAGGAACCGTAGACAAGGCTTAATAGGGGTAGGGTTTGGATCTTTTAAGAAATTGAAGGCAGATGAGCAAAAAGGTAGACAGCAAGACAGGTGGGAAAATATCATGAAGCGATGGATGAACAGCCAACTGAGAGGGAAAATGAGATTGAAAGGCAGAGAATTTCAGTGAAGCCAACTTTCACTGTGATGCCTGAGACACCAAACTAGTTGAGCTGTCATTGTTATGTTTGTTGTTTGCTGATTGATGACTGAGACATAAACTCGTTAAGCTGTCAATGTTATGTTTGTTGTTTGCTGATTGATGACTGAGACACTAAACTTGTTGAGCTGTCATTGTTATGTTTATTGTTTGCTGATTGATGACTGAGACACTAAACTTGTTGAGCTGTCATTGTTATGTTTATTGTTTGCTGATTGATGACTGAGACACCAAACTAGTTAAGCTGTCATTGTTATGTTTATTGTTTGCTGATTGATGACTGAGACACTAAACTTGTTGAGCTGTCATTGTTATGTTTATTGTTTGCTGATTGATGACTGAGACACTAAACTTGTTGAGCTGTCATTGTTATGTTTGTTGTTCATAAGGATATTGATATCCTAGAACTGCTGTTTTTCGTCTAGTCTTGATAATCAATTTTTGATAATTCAGCGATGATGAGAACCGGAGGAGGAGGACAAGCAGATAAATAGAAGAATTTAAAAATGGGCAGGAGGAAAGAGGAGGCAGAGAAGAAGAAGAAAAAAGAAGAAGATAAAAGAGAAGATTGAATCATTCATTGGAATAGTAGAGAGATACCAGATTTGGCCAGTTGGCATTTCAGTGAAACCAAGCACTATGGATCTGGGGAAGACATGGTCACACCACAGACTCCGTAGTGATCTGTGGTGATCTCATCTGAAAACACAGACAGGGAAAATGAAAAGAAGAAGAAGAAAAAGAAGAAGAAGAAGAAGAAGAAGAAGAAGAAGAAGAAAAAGAAGAAGAAGAAGCAGAAGATTCACTGGAATAAAAAGTCTTTTAAAAAAAGCGAAGGTCTCTTTTCCACGCGTTTAGGCGTATAGGGCATATAGGGCTAGACCTATATTTTTATAGACCAGTTGGCACAAGATGGGTGATGTGGTCAGCACCATGCCGATCGCTTTTACTTCCCGGGACTGCACCCGGTACCCACTCAAGGCTGTGTTGACCTGGGAATCAAAGTCATTTTTGAAAAAAGTCTGGTTCCGCCAGGGAGCGAACCCACAACCTTCCGATCTGCACGCAAGCGTCTAACCGCTACATCACGGCGACTCCCATTCACTTCTTCTTCTTCACTTCCTCTTTTACCGCTGTGGGTGTCGAGGGAGATATAAGGTTCTGTTTCTAGCTCTTCTGGCCGCCTCGACCATAGGCACATCATGCTATTGTAGAGTTTCTCTGATGTTATCCTTCCATATTGTTCTTGGTCTACCTTGTGCTCTACGTCCTTCTTCTCTTTCCATTTATGCTTTGTATGGTATGGTGTCACAAGGCATTCTCTCTAAGTGGGCAAACCATTTCCCATTCACTGAAATAAGTTTTTTTAATTTATCATGTTCCCTTGCAACATCTCACAAGAATTTGTTTTTATTATCAGTTCTATAACAATCTGTCTGTACTATTTTGTATATGAAAGATCAGCAAGATGTAGTATCATGCAAGATGTAGTATCATGCAAGATGTAGTATCATGCAAGATGTAGTATCATGCAAGATGTAGTATCATGCAAGATGTAGTATCATGCAAGATGTAGTATCATAAGTGTTTATTTATCTTTCACAGGTGCCATCTCAGTGAAGAGAAGCCTACCTGAAGGGATGTACACGCTGAAAGTGCTGGCTACTGACGGAGGAGGTTTGACATCTCCTGATCCTGGGCTGGTGACAGTGAGTGTCATCAGTGGCAACGTCCACCCTCCCATCTTCACACCGACTATGTTTAACTTCACTATCAGTGAGGATGTTCCGGTGGGAAAGATGGTTGGTCAGGTGCAGGCCAACATGGATGACACAGGCGGAAATATGGGTGAGGTTTTGTCTTGCTGCATAGATCTGTCTTGCCTTGTGTTTTCTGTCTTGTCTTACCTTGCCTTGTCCATCTTTCTTGTTGTCTGTTTGTCTCTCAGCTAGGTAGCTTGCAATGCCTATCCTCTGGACAGAATCATCTACGGTGTTTTGTCTTGTCTATCAGTTAGTGACACTGTTGCTGAGGTCTTCTAACTTGATTAGTCTTGCATTAGTCTGCTTTATTTTATGTTATCTTATTATTTTTTTTAAAAATTTTTTGGCTGGAAAAGGGGGGGGGGGGGGGGGATAGGAAGAGGGGGGGGGAGGGAAGGGAGGTGGCAGGAGGTTTTACCTAATCCTGTATTTTGTCTTATCATGATAAGATGCAGTGTCTTGTCTTATCTTCCCTTTTCTTTTTCATTCCTTCCTTTGAGCTTTGTAGTCACATTTTATGTTGTACTTAGTACTTTTTGTGTCATCCTCTCATGTCTTATCCTGTCTTGTGTTATGGTATTTTATGTAATCTTATCCTATCTCATCTCAAGTCATCAGACCACCTTTATTTCTCCTGACATTTTCTTCTGGCACCCATTATAAACCAGCTCTACGGGCAGCCCAGATCAAGTTTAACACTCTGGCCTCAGTGGGGTTTGAAACCCAGGGCCACCGGACTGCCAGATGAGCATTCTACAAGGTGTCCCCATAAGTTTCCTTCCACAGGAAAGATATTTGTTTGTTTAAAAAAACAAAAAACATATTCATCCATATGGCCATTGAGTTAACCATATGTGTCGATTCCTCCCCACCCCAAAAAAAATGGCTTGGTCTCTCTCCTCAGAACGACTAGCCACCTGCAGAAAGTGACACACAAAGCACAAATTCCATAGCTCTGGCAACAGTCTCATTGGATCTCCCTAAAAATTGTAATTATGAATCGAACAACACCATCGGGATGTAAACTCATTATCCTCAGAGTGCAAAGCAAATGGCTTGACCTCTTTACCATAGAGATATGCATGGATATTCCCAGCTATAGGCAGTGTCCATGCAGGAGCTCCTCTCATAGGCCATGAGGCTTGATGGTTAGTTGCGTAACCTTTACAGGATGTTGCAGAACCAACCCCAGCAGCCCCTGGCTGTTGTGTGGCTTCTCTTGGCAAATTTACATCCAGTAGTTTGCCATTACTTTCTGGACGGTGGGCCCACTGATACCACTGTCGAAACCAACTCAATGCATTTGGCCCGCAGCTGGCACCCCGGCATTACGAAGTGTTCACATCGACTTAGCTACAGAGCCGACTGAGGCTTGATGAGGGTAGCTAATAAACAGTTGACCTTTCATCTAGTCTTTTTGTACCTAATCAAGTCACTGTGCCATCACATGCTTCCATATCTCAGCTAAATATACAAAGCAATGCATGATTTTTATAATTTTCTTTATCCTCTCAGAGATCTCCTACTCCAGCCTCTTCCAGACTTTGGATTGGTTCAACATCGATAACCGGACAGGGTCCATCTTCACCAAGTCCAAACTTGACCGAGAGACAAGTCCCTTTGTGGTCATTAGTATCCAGGCTAAAGCGGGTTTCCCTCCTGTTTATGCTGTAGCTCAGGTGATCTTTCTCTCCATAATTTAATTCTATAAACTGGATACCCCCGTGTGGGTTCCGGGGCCCTATTGTAGGGAAAACAAGAATAGACCCACTGCCTCCCCAAAAGCATGTCGTAAGAGTCGACTAACTGGGGAGCTTCCTTTGAAGTCGGAGTGCATCTGCCTGAGAGGCAAGGAACCAGCAGTCTGCATTCAATTGAATCAGATCTGTAAAACTGATGCACACGCAACACTCAGGTTCTGGAGCAGAACTGTAGTCCAGAAGTGGACGAACAACCAGAACTTTCCGCCAGAGTGTACAGCTGGTGAACGCGAAGAAGAAGAAGAAGAAACTGGATAGTCTGTCATTAGAGAAGAGAGAGAGAGAGGGAGAGAGGAGTGAGTGTGTGTGTGTGTGTGTGTGTGTGTGTGTGTGTGTGGTGTGTGCAACACGCATATGCAAGTGTGTGCATGTATGTGTCTGTCTGCATGTGTGTGTATGTGTGTTTCTTTTTAGGTGAGTAAGTTAGGTGTGAGTATGTATAGATTGGTTAGTTTTATGTTGTAAGTTATTAATTTTATTTAAAGTGTAAACTGGATAGTTTTTGTTTAGCCTGTAATAAACTGTTCAGGTTAGTTAAGTTTGTGAAGAAGAAGAAGAATCAGCTGCAGAAGAAGATGAAGAAGAAAAAGAAGAAAAAAAAAAGAAGAAAATCAGCAGCAGCAGAAGAAGAAGGTTAAAGTTTAAAGTCGAGAGGATCAACTTCATTGCACCAAGTTTAATCCCATGTGGCTTTGCCTCTCTCCGCAAAACTCCGTAGCTCCAGCGACGATCCCCAGGGATCTCCATAAAAATTTGTGAACTGAAGGGCACTGTGGTGGAACAAACCCATGGCTTTCAGAGCGCTAGGCAAATGGCTTGACCACGGAGACCCCCAAAAGAAAAAAAAGAAGAAGAAGAAGAGGCAGAAGAATAAGAAGACGCAACATTAGAAGAAGAAGAAAAAAGAGAAGAAAAAGAATAAGCAGAATTATAATAATAATAATAATATTGATAATACTTACTTACTTACTTAGTCGCTCCTCTTCTACCTTGGGGTGTAGAGGTTTGCCAGAGAGATCGCCAGACGTCTCTATCAGCAGTTTTCTTTCTGGCTTTGTTCCATTCCAGTCCTCTGTCAGTCAGGGACTGTCGGATGTTGTCTTCCCAGCGCACCCTGGGTCGTCCCGGAGGTCTGGTTCCCTGGTTCTTAGCCTCCCATGCTTGCCATGGTGGCCGATTTTCTCCCATTCTGCACACATGTCCAAACCATCGTAACTGTGACTGATCCACTCGGGTTAGTAAGGGCTGGGTATCAAGATCTTGACGTATTGTCTGATTGCGGACTTTGTCCCTTCTTGTCACTTGGGACCACCTTTCTCAGGTATCTCATTTCCGAGGCCTGCAGCTGGCTTCTGTGAGCTGTTGTCATTGCCCATGACTCACACCCATAGGTCAGGACTGGTACATAGGTAGAGCGGTAAACAGCCATTTTCGTTCTCTTGCCAATTTCTCTTTTACTAAGAAACCCTCGGTTTATGGCCCTGGAAGAGTCTCCCAGCAGCTGCTTTTCGTGTAGCCAGCTCAGTCTTAATGCCTCCATTTTGGTCTAATACAACTCCAAGGTATTTGAACTGGTTAACCTGCTCCAACGCATACTGACCCATCATGATCTGGTGTTTCTTCTCCTCTCTTGAGATCACCATGGTTTTAGTTTTGGAGACACTGATGGTCATCCCTTTCTTTTCAAGCTCTTCCTTCCAGACAAGTAAGTTGGACTGAAGGTGTGCCTCTGATTTAGCTATCAGGGCCACATCGTCTGCAAAAGCCAGCTCTGATATACAGATTGGTCTCATCTTCCAGTACCCTACAGAGTACTTCTTTGTCTTCTCCTTACAGGTCTTGATGACATCATCCATCATAAGAATGAAGAGGTAAGGTGAGAGAATATCACCTTGTCTAACACCGCTGGTGGTCTTAAATTCTTCTGACTTTTTGGTCTGCTGTTCTTACATAATTTCTGCACTTTTTGTAGAAAAACTCTGTATTGCACTGATCAGGGGTGCTGGGATGTTTTTCCCTGCCAAGCAGTCCCAGAGCTTGTTCCAGGGTACCTTGTCAAATGCCTTTTCCAGATCCAAAAAAAACATAAGTGAATCTCACTCTTATATTCCAGGGCTTTTTCACTCATCTGTCTCAGTGTGAAGATAAGGTCTTGAGTACTTCGGTTTGCTCTGAAGCCGCACTGGGCCTCGTCCAGCTGTGGCTCTACCAGACTTCTAAGTCTCTGCTCAAGAATTCTAGAGTAAACTTTTACCGGGAATGCTGAGGAGGGATATGCCTCTGTGGTTTTCACATTGTCTGTTATCACCTTTTTTAAATATAGGTATAATGATGGCAATCTCCCAATCTTTTGGTATAGTTTTGCTACACCAGGCTGCCTGGAGAACCTTCAGTAGAAGGCGCTCACCTTCGACTCCCCATATATTTGACCATCTCTGGTGTTATACCATCATGACCTGCTGCTTTTCCCAGCTTAATCTTCTCAATAGCTGCCTTCAATTCTTCCATCCTGATGTTATCTTCCCCATGATTGAATTCCTTCTCAGCAGTGAGGTCCATTATTTCTGGGTCATGACTTCCCTCAGCGCCGAGGAGCTCTGAGAAGTATTCTTTCCATCTGCCCATGATATCATTTGTAGAAGTAAGCAGAGCCCCTTCCTTGTCTTTTATAATGAATTTAAGTGGGCACTCTTTCTCCTTCCTCATGTTCTTAAGGGTCTTGTAGAACAGTTTTTTGGTTTTCTCTTGCATTCTTTTTCCAACTTTTCTCCAAAACTCTCTTTCCCATGATTTCTGTTTTGCTTTAAGCACAATATTTTTGGTCTCTGTTCTGAGTGCCACATATTGTTTATATTTTTTCTATTTCTTCAGCTGTGTTCCTGGCTGCCAGGTATTGCTTCCATGCCCTTTTCTTTTCTCTCCTATTTTCAATTTGACTTCTTCTGTCCACCAAGGTGTCCTGGTGTCCCCGCCTTCCACTTGGGACTTCACCACATGCTTCTACTGCAGCTGCTGTGAGGATATTCTTGAATCTGCACCAGAGAGTTTCAGTGTCCTCTGATGATTCTTCTTCAGTTCCCTATTGCTTTCACTATAAGCTCCTGGTATCTAGCCTTAATATCTGGCTCTCTTAGCTTGTATGCTTTAATCCTCATCCCTTCTTGGTTGCTTGGTTTCTTGCATAGTTGTCGATGTTGCCTTGTTGGAGCAGTTCTTTCAGTTGTTCTCTTTATTGTGGACCAGATAGTGGTCACTTCCAATCTCTGGTCTCTCATGACTCTGGCATCTCTCACAAACTTGAATGAACTTTTTTCCTAACTATGGCGTAGTCAATGATGGATTTTTCATTCTTTGAAAGGTTCACATCTTGTGTACGCATGTATACGCTTGTGGGGGAATTTTGTGTTTGTAATGACAAGGTTCTGTTCCCTGCAGAATCTGAGAAGTCGCTTGCCATTATCATTCAAAAAAAAAACATCTTCACCATATCTCCCGATCACTCCACCCCATCTAGAGTGATCATTTCCTACTCTGGCATTTAGATCTCCTAGGAGGATAATTTCATCGTGTGACAGTCATCTATGGTCTTTTGGAGCAGTTTTCAAAGAATTCTTCTTTAACATCTACTCGCTCATCTTCATTTGGCCCGTACACAATGAACAAAATTGACAATTTTATCTTCTCTTTCAGATCTAACACCATTATTCGCTCTGAGATGAATTTCCATCCCTTGATGTTACTAACTTGATTCCCTGGCCACAATACAGCCAACACCTCCCCTTGGCTCTCTCCGTCATAGGGACACCACTGTAGAGCAAGCATACTTTCCATCGTGATCTGTGATTCCTTGCCCCTTTTTCTTGGTTTCAGTCAGAGCCAAGACTCCTAATTTTGCTTTCCTCATCTCCCCTACTAACTCGTTTTCCTTTCCTTTCCGTTAATGCCTCTTATATTCCATGTTCCATAAATCGTAGTCCGTAAGCCATGCCAGTTCGTCGCCGTTAAGATTCCGTCCGGTTTTCTCTCTGTAGTTACTTGTAATCGTGGTTTAAGGCAAACAGGTGATTGGCCTGTTTGTGCCTTTGCATGGTGGAGGGGGCTGCCTCCTTGCGGCCTCCATGCAGGCCGTCTGGCTGATTTCACGGTTACCCCACTACTTCCCCGGAGACGCATGAAGCACTCAGGTTCAGCCAGACCCTCCTCCTTTTACAGCCGGGCTTGGGACCGGTCTTAGCGGAGTTATATTGATAATAATAATAATAATAATAATAATAATAATAATGAAGAAGAAGACTAGGATAAAGAGGAAAAAGGAGAATGAACAACAATAATAATAACTGGTCTGTAAAATGTTTAGACTACCATTATGTACCCAAACATGCTCCAGGGTATGGGAAAGATCCATAATTTTACTTTTTAAATACAAAATCACAGGTGGGAGATTGCTAACTGATCTACCAATTAAGCTGTACTTGTTGGTCATATAAAGGGAGATTTCTTATTAAGCAGATATATAGAGATTTTGCATTATTGTAATTAAAGATATGTAGATGACCAGACTTGAGGAGATAACTTAATAATGTTGGATAGAAAAAAGTGTTATCAAATATTTGTATGTCATCTTGTAAAGTATGCATAACTCATTCTCTTGTTCTTTTTTTGTCTTTGACCAGGTAAATGTCACAATTCTGGATGTCAATGATAACGAACCAATTTTTCCTGCAACAACTGTGCTGGAGCTAGAAGTTCGAGAAGATGAAGCTGCAGGTACTGCCCTTATATGTGGCTCGAGCACATGATAAGGACACTGGGAATAACGGAACCATACGTTATCGGCTTCATAATGAGCCAAGTGATACTTTTACTATCAATGAACAAACTGGCCAGTTAAATCTAACCAGGCAGTTGGATTATGAACGACATCGGGAATATTTATTGTTGGTAGTTGCAGAGGATTTAGGGACTCCAGTGAGGTTAAGTTCTAATATGACCTTGACAGTCAAGGTGAAGGATATCAATGATAATCCTCCTAAGTTTGATCGAGCTGTTTATGATTTTTCCGTAGCAGAAAATGTTCCGATTGGTCAACCAATAGACAGGGTCATAGCTACAGACGATGATTCTGAACACAACAAGAGGATATCTTTCTCATTGAAAAATAACCGATATGATTCCGTGTTTGGGATCTCCCCCATTGAAGGCATCATCTGGACTCGAGATGTTTTAGACAGAGAGCTTCGGGAGATGTATGAGTTAGTGGTGGAGGCAGTAGACCATGGGAGTCCAGCTCCAATGACTGCAACAGCCCAGATTAGGATCCTTGTTACGGATGTTAATGATAATGACCCTGTTTTTACCCGAGAGGAGTATCGATTTTCCATCCGTGAAAATCTAGAGTCTAGTAGTTTGGTTGGCCAGGTTGTTGCTCATGATAAAGACAGCGGAAAAAATGGACAGCTCCAATTCTTCTTCGCTGGACCCCAGACTAATTTTACAATTAATTCTGTAAATGGTGAGATTCGAACTCAGGTCTCTTTAGATAGAGAGGTCATAGCAGAGCATGTCATCACAGTGTATGTGTCTGACAAGGGAGATAATCCAAGGACAGCTGTTACTAAAGTCAAGATCAAGGTGAAAGATGATAACGATAATGACCCAACGTTCCAGAGACAAGGACCGGTGTCCGTTAGCATTGCAGAGAACAGACCCAAGGGAACTGATGCTGTCACACTAGTGGCTGTCGATCCCGACGAGGGAGATAATGGCTTGGTTAGCTATTTCTTTGATAAAGGTAAGACATTTGTCATTTCCTTGTCAGGTAAATCAATGCCATGACATTTATTTCTGAACTTTTGTTTGTCACCTACAGAAAAGATACTTATTTGATACATGTCAGGAATGTAATATTCTTGTGCCAGATAAATAGCTGGTGAAATATTTTTGACACACCATTTGCCTTCTTTTTCAGCGTTTGTCAGAAGATGTGATTGCATTTTGCCTGATATCAGTATATCAGTCATTTGTCGACCTTTTTAGGATGAATTTTTTCGTTATTTGAAGCCCTACTCTGGCTTTTGCCAGGGGCTGCAATATAGCCTGGCCATAAGTATGTCCTAAAGACTGAACACGGTTTCTGGGACCTCTCCACGGTGATCCTCACCCATATGGTGGCACATTGTGTCATCGGGTGTTTATCGCTTGTGTGATGTCCTGGTGGGGTAGATAGTCAGTCAGTCAGCATGGATTTGATATTTGCAGCATTTGACAAAACACATCTGACTTCTGCAGCCATTTCTTGACTGGGTTAACCTCCCTGGTACTACTTGTCTTCTCTTGGGGATATGAATCTTTTATAAAAACTTCATCCAGTGGGAATCAATACCCAGTTTTCTTAGCTCTTAACTCTTTGAGTCCCAAGGAACACATCATACGTTCATAGATTCGTACCTAGAGGCTCGATGAACGCATGATGCGCTGATTTTACATCTCTCTTGACTACCTCTTGGGCCTGTGATGCTAAACCCCCCTGGGACTCCAAGAGTTAATGTCTGTTTTATCTCCATTTTTTTCCCTTCACACTTTATAAAAGTTAGTTGTTTATGCTTTGCAGGACCTTGCAGAGCCAACCTAAATATTTTGGCAGTTTGTGATTTTACTACACAGTTTTGTGTTGGTAGTTTGTCATTGTTTATATTTTAACAGTTGGTGCTCCAAACTACTGTCAAAATCACTCAAAGAATTTGCTGCCAAATCATTCGCTGCTGAAATCAAACCTGGTATTTTAGAATTACAAAGCACACTCACAATGCCTAAAAAGTGATGCCCACTTAGCTTATGTACTCATATTAAAGGAATTTAAAGAATTTTGACAAACTGCTGCCGTTCCCTGTCGCATATTTTATTTCACAACTGGATTTTTTTTTCGTTATTTCCAGGACTTCTATATTTACATTTGTTTTGTTTTTAAATGTCTTTGCATGTTAGATATGTGTAAATTAGGATATGTATGTTTTTCTGTATGCAGCGTCTGTGGCTAAGGCGTTGCGAGTCCAACTCGTAAGCCAGCATACCGCGATCGAAACCCACTGTAGGCTGCGTGTATTTTTGTCGTGGTATGGGGACGTCACAGGTCGACCCAGCCTAAAATGGGTACCAGGTTGGGCTGTCCTGGGAAAGTAAAGACAGCCGGCGTAATGCTGACCACATTACCCACAGAGTTGCTGATGGTCTGTAAAAATATGGGACGCTCTGCCCATATGCCCGATGCGCCGAAGGCGTGAAAAGGGAACTTTACTTTTTTTACTATGTTTCTTGAAAAGTTATCTATTTTTTTGTTTGCATTGACACACACTAACTAAAAAAAGAATAGGTACTTTTAGCCTTTTTATATCTTGTGCAATGTATCCTTATCATTGAGAGTTAGAAAAAGAATTTGTGCTTGCTACATACATCCAGTTTTAACATATGGCTGTGAATCCTGGACAATCGGTAGGCAGGCCAAACAATTTCTTGGTGCCTCAGAGATTTGGTTTTACAGAAGAATGCTTAGAATACCTTGGACAGCCAAAAAGAGCACCAAAAAGTTTTGAAAGAGGCGGGAGCCCAAAGACAACTTATCACAGACATCAGAAGGAAACAGTCATCATTTTTCGGCCATGTTATAAGAAGAGGGAAAATAAAACATGTTGTGACCACTGGAAAGATATGTGGAAGGGGGGATATAGGAAGACATGAGAGAAGATTCTTGGCAGTGTTGTTGCATGGCATGGAGGTGTGTCGTCACACAGACTGATACATGCTGCAGGAGATCATGGGTTATGGAGAGGCATGATCGCCCATTCCAGTCGGCAAGGCACCTGATGATGATGATGGCTTTTAGCCATTCAACCAAAGCATTCTTTTTGAACACTCAGTTGTCTTCAGTCTTTGAACACTGAACATAAAAATATCCTTGGCCAGTGACAAAACTGATCGAATATTCTTATGACAGTGATGATAAACTAATATGTACAGTTCTTATTGTGTAGCCATGTATGTACCTCGACCATGTTCATAATGTTCTTATTTTGAACCTTTTAATGTATAAATGATTGAGATTCCTGCATCTTTGCCAACAGATCGAAGTGAAGCTGCAGCCTTAGCCAGCTTTGAAATTCATCCTCGGTCTGGTTTGGTGTCCACTAGAGAAGTCTTGGATTATGAAACACAAACCATATACCACTTGACGGTTGTGGCCAGGGACAACGGCAAACAGTTCCGGCAGAACTCACAGTCACTGACCATTTCAGTGCTGGACACGAATGACCAAGCCCCCTTGTTTCACGCCAGGGATATACACTTTGACTGTGTGGAGAACGTTAGCATCGGGACTGTTGTTGGTCAGGTCAAGGCCACAGACAAGGACTCCGGGGAAAATGGGAAAGTCAATTACTATCTTGTTGGAGGAAACGTCTTCAGCTGCTTCTCTGTTGATCGTGTGTCAGGCATCATTATCACTGTGAGAGAGGTTGATTTCGAGGAAGCTTCCTCACACTTTCTCAGTATTCAGGCTATAGATAGCAGCACGGCTTTGCCCAGGAGTAGCAATATCAGTGTGACAATTGATGTAAGTTCCTAAAATTACATGTTTTTTATCTTCTTTTTTTTTAAAAAGATCTTAGATCTTCATGTTTCATATTTTCTCATTTAAAAAAAACCCTCCTTAATCTTCATATTTCATATCTTCTTATTTTGTGGAATGTCTTAGACCTTCACATTTAGTATCTTCTTATTCCATAAACATTCTTAAATGTTCACATTTTTTTTCCAATTTAAGTTCTTACATCTTCAGGTTCATCTGTTTCAGAAAAATTTTGAGATCTTCGTGTTTTATATCTTCATAAGTCATCAAATTCATTGATTTTCATATTTCATTTAATTAAAGTTTTTAGATTTTCAGATCTTCTTATTTCCTTAAAATCTTTAGACTTTCATATTTCACATCTTCATATTTCATAAAAGTAGTTCAAATTTCATGTTTCATAAATTTTTAGTGTGTAGCTTGTTCTTCTTTTGTCCCAGTGTTCATACTTCTTTGCTTTTGTTTCGGAGATCTAAAAATTAATGATGATTCATATTTTTGACATTTAGTATTAGAATAAGCATGTAATGTAATGTTGAATGTTGAATTAAGAATCAATATCACAACACTCGAGACACTCCCATAAGTGCTGCATCCCCATCTTCAGCAGCAAGCGAAGAGTTCCAATTGGAATGGCTCCAGTAACTGTCTGACTGTACATCCGTCTCCCCTTTCCATTGAATGTTGAGCATCAGCCAGATCCTCTTGTAACTTCCTGCGGTGCCATTCTCCTTAGACTGTCAAAAGGCCTTAACAAAATCTAGCTTGTCATACATCAGTTCACCACCAAGTGGTGCAGAACCAGCCTGTCTGTCTGTCTGCTCATTTCCCAACACACCAGCATGACCTTGAAAAAATATCCAAAGGATGCTAACTACCCGAGACCTCATTTTTGTTTTCACTTTTCTCCTTTATGTTCCAGGTGTCGAGGGAGATACAAGGTTCTCTTTCTTGCTTTCTGTTTGCCTCCACTATAGACATGACATATTATTGTAGAGTTTCTCTGATGTTAACTTTCCGTATTGTTCTCAGTCTGCTCATTGCTCTGCGCCCCCTTCCCCCTTTTTTCAAAATGCCTTGTACGGTAAGGCATTACAAGGCATTTTCTTTACATTACTTCTTCTCTTATTTGATCTCTTCTGTTCATTCTTATAGCCTTTCTTAGGCATGTCATGTTCATGGGTACTAATTTTCTTTTCTGGTTGGTTGTGATGATTAAGTGTCTTACGTTTGTACATACAGTGGGAATGAATATGCTTTGTATGAGATTTTTTGGGGGCGCTGATTGGCATTGTGTTGTGCTACAAGAAGGAGATTAGCTGTCCCAGTATTTTGTTTACTACATCAGATGTTAATTTCTTCATCTAGTTTGCCTTCTTTGGTAAATGTTTTGCCAGATGCCTGTTTGATACATTTGCTTTCTACTGTTTTATGTAATACAACTCATCTGTATACTGCATTTAATGAACTTTTTGCTTCTTCGTCTGAATGATATCACCCAGTATATGGTCTTTGTTTTGTTTTTTTCCTGCCCAGGTTATTGATATCAACGACAATGCCCCAGTGTTTGAACAAGACCCAGTTATCATTCGGACAGTTGCTGAAAATACACCCAGAAACCATATTGTTCACAAGTTCAATGCCAGGGACAAGGACTCTGGCATCAATGGGACCGTTCGCTATTCCATCGAAACATACTCTGGGCAGGAAGACAAACTTGGCCCATATTTTGACATCAACCGTGAGACGGGAGAAATGTTTGTTGTAGGAATCATTGATTTCGAGAAGGTACGGTGTATATGAAGTGTTGTCAAGTGCCTGTCTATTTCTGTTGATGTTTGCCATCATCATCATCAATCACCTTTACAGATCATCGATTTCATCATGTTAAGCCTGAAAATCTCTCTTTCTCTAGCAGATTCTCCAGCCCTGTGTGCTAACTAATGCATCTATAGTCCTTGTATCCATCTTCACTGAGGTCTGACACTGCCTCGTTTTCTGGGAACCGTACCTTCTGCCACTGTTCTCTCCGAGCCACCTGGATATTTACTTACTTTACTTTTACTTTTTCCTTCCACGTATGCCGCTAAGCGTTGTGGGGAGATGCAAGTTCCTGTCGTAAGCAAGGCGGGCAGCATCTCATACCCAGTAACTTTTAGATTAGCTTGGTAAGCCACTGCTTTATGGCAGGTTTCGGAGACCCCGTCAATCCACCGTTTCCCTGGATATTTAACAGGCCAAAATATCTCGGCTTTCGGTGCATGATGCTGTTTATGAGCCAATTTTCCTTGATGCTCAGATCACATATGATGCTTCCATGTAGAGTTTATAGGGATATATAATGTGATGGTTTTCCCCTGATTTCCACATCCACACCTCAAATACCAGTAACCTTTTAGATTAGCTTGATAAGCAAGTACTGCTCAACTATAGACATACTCCCCCCCCCCCCCCCCCCCCACATTTGATGCCATATTAATTAGATTCTTCATCTTCCCAGTTCTTTTGACAGATTGCCTTAATACTTTATTTAGTGAACATGTTATGTTTACTGCACATAGAACCATTAAATCCACAATGCATTCAGATCCCCATCTTAGCATATCCCTCAACATGTGGTCACATAGGATACCAGTTTAGAGTTGGTTTACTGTTCTTTGTTTGCCCTCTCTCTCTCTCTCTCTCTCTGTCTCTGTCTGTCTCTGTCTCTCTCTCTCTCTCTGTCTCTCTCTCTCTCTCTCTCTCTCTCTCTCTCTCTCTCTCTCTCTCTCTCTCTCTCTCTGTGTGTTTGAAGAGCTTGAAAAAAGGCCAAAAACTGACCAATGGATAATGTTATCTTCCCATATTCCATGAAAAACTAGATACTTTATCTTCCCATATTTCAGTCTAAATTAATTAGATATCTTCTCACATACCAGGTCAGTAATATATTTTATCTTTCCTAATGTATAATTTGTCACCCCAATACCAAACTGACTAGATATCTTTCTGAACACATTCCCAGGGTATACAAATTGATATTTTTAATTTGTTTACCAGATTCTCTGGTGAGTTCTTCTAGGGCCCCATTGTCAGGGAAACAAAAACAGACGCACTGCCATCCCTACAAATATCTCAAACAAGCTGATTAATTAGGGGTATTTTTTTCATAGAGTTCATCTGCTTAAGAGGTGAGGAACCAAGACTATGTAAATAAATAAACCAGATCTGTAAAACTGATGAGCACACAACAATCAAGTTCTTGAACAAAACAAAAGTTCAGAAGTGTACAACTAGCCTGCACTTTCTGTCAGAGTTTACAGCCAGTGAAGGCTAAGAAGAAGTTTGCCAAATGCCAAGTTGAATGAGTAATTTATGTCCTCATGCAAGGTAAATTAAATATTTGAATCTGCTCCTATCCACATGCCAGGTTGACCAGATTTCTGTGATTGTGAAAGCCGAAGATGCCTGCCCTTTTAAAAATCATGTCCAACATTCATTGATGACAACCATTGTTTTTGTAACTGATGTCAATGACAACCCTCCAGCATTCGAGTCTACGAGCAACCTGGTAGTCTCTGAGGAAGAGGCTATTGGCTACATGATCCTGGCAATTGTTGCTGTTGACCCAGATTCGAACATTGATGCTAGTGGTAACAATGTGGTGAAGTATCAGATTGTTTCTGGCAACGAAGATGGGAAATTTATTTTGGGATCAGATACAGGTGAATGTTTATTTTATGTTACTGTTCTTTTCTCTGTTTAAAAAAAAAAGCAAACAGAAATATGAGTTATATCTTTAAATAAAAATGTCCATACAAGGGCTTGTTGGGGGAGTCTGGTCCTATCCATTCTGAGCGCATGGTACTTTCAAGCAACTATAGTAGTTTGACTGTGTAGACTATCTTTGCGGATATGTAAAGTGATTTGGGATACCATAATTCTGTTTGAAGATATATAAACACCTACACAAGCTAACCTCTGTACTAACTATGGTACTGGTGCTTTCATAGATAGATGATATTATAATCAGATGATTTCAACCATATTTATAATCTGACCCAAGGGAGCAACATTGCAAGAGAAGCTATGGGGTACTGGTGGTGACCTTAAACGCACCATCCTATTTGTGGCCCAGACTGGACTCATTGTTTAGCATGACTAATGTCAAACACAGAAGAAGAAGAAGAAGAAGAAGAAGAAGAAGAAGAAGAAGAAGAAGAAGAGAAGAAGAAGAAGAAGAAGAAGAAGAAGAAGAACCATATTTATAAATCATGCATTACTTTTGAAAACTCCATCTTATCTCTACAGGCTATCTCAGTATCTCTGATGCCCTGGACCATGAGAAGCAGACAAATTACTCACTGAACATCAGTGCCGAAGACTCGGGCATGCCCAGGATGGTCAGCTACCAGCAGTTGCAGATCAAGGTCACAGACACCAATGACAATGCCCCAGTTTTCAACAAGTCTGTCTACCAAGCCAATGTATCAGAGAACTCAGCTCCGCAGACTCCCATCATCAAGATTCAAGCATTGGATGCTGATACCGGTGAGAATCTTAAAAATGAGAATAGAGTTCAAATTTTATTACAGCTAATGTTTGAGTTAAATCCCTAGCATCCCCCTGCGAGTTCCGGGGCTCCAAGTGGATTCTGGGCCCCATAGGGGTTTTAGGGCCCTATGTGGGTTCTGGGGCCCCATGTTGGGAAAGAGTTGAATTGATTTGAGTCAAGAATTGACATCACAGCACTCGGGTGCTCCGTCCTCATCTTCAGCAGCCAGCAAAGAGTTCCAGTACTGATGGTACCAGTCACAGTCTGGATATATATCCGTCTTGCCTTTCCTCTGAGTCAAGTAAGCCGACCAGACCCTCTGGTTACACCCAGGTGCTTCATTATCTCCAGGCCATAATAATATTGTTTCTCTACTGATTCCGTTGCTTGTTCCCAAAGGGCCTTGACCACATCTGCCTTGCCATGTATCAATTCACCAGCCAGTGGTGCAAATCCCGCCACTGTTGAGAAAGAATAGAAATTGACCCATAGCTCCCTAACAAGCAATTAATTAGGAGTTTTCCCTTAAAATCAGAGTGCCTCTGCCTCAGCAGCAAGAAACCAACAGTCTGCATGCAAGTTAGCCAAATCTGTAAAATTAATGGTCATGCATAATTCAAGTTCTAGAACAAGAATGAAGTCCAGAAGTTCATTAGAAACAGCTACCTATATCTCCCAGGACTGTACCTGGCATCCATTTAAGGCTAGGTCGACCTGGGAGCCAAGGTCATTTTGGAAAAATGTCAGGTTCCGTCAGGACCTAAACTCCCAACCTTCTAATCTGCAGGCAAGCATCTCGCCGCTGCACCGTGGCGGCTCCCAGTAAGTAGCAATAAACCTAGTCTGCACAGTGCGTGAAAACAACAAGGACACAAGTCACGCAATCCCTGTTAAGAACAATTGTAGTGGTCATTTAAAACATTCACTACACTATTTGTAGTGTGACGGTTGGTTGCGTGCCCTTCACAGAATTTGCAGAATCAACCCCAAGCATTTTTTTTCGTTGACTATTTGTGATTTTACAAGTCAATTTTAAGTTTAAAGAAAGAACAATAACCTTGACACTGGTTCTTCTTGCAGGTGACAATGGTGCCCTGACCTATCAGATCCCCAATGGAATTGCTGGCAACATGTTCACAGTGGATGCTCAAACTGGTGTACTGAGTACCAAAGTTGCCCTTGACAGGGAAGTCAAGGATTCTTACACCGTCACAGGTTGGTGTCCTGCAGCTTTCATTTTAATACAAGTTTCAAAAGAAAAAAGAAAAGAAAAGACAGCTGCCAACTGTATCATCATCATCAGGTGCCTTGCCGACTGGCGTGGGCGATCATGCCTCTCCATAATCTGCGATCTCCTGCAGCATGTATCAGTTCGTGTGCCGACACACCTCCATGCCATACAACAAGACTGTCAAGCATCTTCTCTCGTTGTCTTCCTCTGTCTCTCCTTCCACAGATCTTTCCAGTGGTTGCAACATGTTCTATTTTCCCTCTTCTCATAACATGGCCAAAAAATGATGACTGTCTCCTTCTGATGTCTGTAATAAGTTGTCTTCGGGCTCCCGCCTCTTTCAAAAGCCAACTGTATAATCAGACTTAATGGGTGAAGCAAGCACTCTGAAGTCTACAAATTAATGAATACTACCTGAAGATAGAATGCTAAATGTGAAAACATCCCAGGAAGGGTCTGCTTCTTCTGTGTTGGCTGATAGTGAAATCTGGTGGAAGGTTCTAGTTTTCTGTCCATATATGGATTTGGTTTCCCAGTGTGAGTTCCAGGGACTCATGGGGGGGGGGGGGGGGAGAGAGCCACTGCCCCCAACAGGCATCTCATAAAAGTCAAACAGTTAGGGCTGTTTCCTTCATAGCCGGAGTGCATCTGCCTGTGAGGTGTGGAACCTGTATTCTGCATAGAGATAAATCAGATCTGTAAAGTGACAGTGCATGCAAAATCTCAAGTTCTGGAACAGGACTAAAGTCCAGAAGTCGAGGAGCTGCCAAAACTGTCCACCACAGTTTACAGCCGGTGATTGTGAAGAAGAAAGGACTTTGGTTAAGGATGAATGAATGTGGAGTTGAGGTTAAGGATGAATGAATGTGGAGTTGTGGTTAAGGATGAATGAATGTGGAGTTGTGGTTAAGGATGAATGAATGTGGAGTTGTGGTTAAGGATGAATGAATGTGGAGTTTTGGTTAAGGATGAATGAATGTGGAGTTGTGGTTAAGGATGAATGAATGTGGAGTTGTGGTTAAGGATGCATGAATGTGGAGTTGTGGTTAAGGATGAATAAATGTGGAGTTGTGGTTAAGGATGAATGAATGTGGAGTTGTGGTTAAGGATGAATGAATGTGGAGTTGTGGTTAAGGATGAATGAATGTGGAGTTGTGGTTAAGGATGAATGAATGTGGAGTTGTGGTTAAGGATGAATGAATGTGGAGTTGTGGTTAAGGATGAGTGAATGTGGAGTTGTGGTTAAGGATGAATGAATGTGGAGTTGTGGTTAAGGATGAATGAATGTGGAGTTGTGGTTTAAGGATGAATGAATGTGGAGTTGTGGTTAAGGATGAATGAATGTGGAGTTGTGGTTAAGGATGAATGAATGTGGAGTTGTGGTTAAGGATGAATGAATGTGGAGTTGTGGTTAAGGATGAATGAATGTGGAGTTGTGGTTAAGGATGAATGAATGTGGAGTTGTGGTTAAGGATGAATGAATGTGGAGTTGTGGTTAAGGATGAGTGAATGTGGAGTTGTGGTTAAGGATGAATGAATGTGGAGTTGTGGTTAAGGATGAATGAATGTGGAGTTGTGGTTAAGGATGAATGAATGTGGAGTTGTGGTTAAGGATGAATGAATGTGGAGTTGTGGTTAAGGATGAATGAATGTGGAGTTGTGGTTAAGGATGAATGAATGTGGAGTTGTGGTTAAGGATGAGTGAATGTGGAGTTGTGGTTAAGGATGAATGAATGTGGAGTTGTGGTTAAGGATGAATGAATGTGGAGTTGTGGTTAAGGATGAATGAATGTGGAGTTGTGGTTAAGGATGAATGAATGTGGAGTTGTGGTTAAGGATGAATGAATGTGGAGTTGTGGTTAAGGATGAATGAATGTGGAGTTGTGGTTAAGGATGAATGAATGTGGAGTTGTGGTTAAGGATGAATGAATGTGGAGTTGTGGTTAAGGATGAATGAATGTGGAGTTGTGGTTAAGGATGAATGAATGTGGAGTTGTGGTTAAGGATGAATGAATGTGGAGTTGTGGTTAAGGATGAATGAATGTGGACTTTGGTTAAGGATGAATGAATGTGGAGTTGAGGGTCAATCTGGCAAAGAGGGACATAACAGAGCAACAGTACAATTAATTTATAACCACTATTACTGGAATAATTAGTATCTACACCTTACTGCATTTACTGCAAAAGACAGAGCACTCATGGGTGTGGATGGTGTACTGTTGATAGTTCAAAACTATGTATTTCTCCATCAACTATCTACTGATCTTTTCTTTTTCTGTTCTCCTTTTGTTGTAAAGTATCGCAGAAAGGACTTAGATGCAGTTTTTTTTAAAGTTTTTTTAATTTAAAATATTTTGCCTCCATTTCTACAATCTTATATTCCCAAGATCTTTATATTGTGCTTTTTCATGAAATTCACAATTTTTACTTATTTTTTCCCTAAACAAACAGATGTTTAGTGTAGCCATTTTGAGTGGTGGGCTAGATCGTGTGGCTTGAGTTTTACTGCTCTGATTTGATTTCTTGTCTTGAGCAAGTGTATTTAAACAATTAAATTTTTTAACATCGGGCTGGGCCTATCCTAAAATCATTTCTGAAGCACAATTGATAACAAAACAAAAACAAGGCTTGCTCCATAAATCCAACTCCACCTGTCTCAGTGCATGAGAAAATGTGCTTTACTAATCCTTTTGTTGTCATATTCACGAACAACCCTAGGCATGAAAATGCCATTTACTAATCTATTTTCCCTCACCTTTGAGTGTAGAGTTTGCTTTCAGTCTTTGCTGTTTTCCCTTCAGATTATGTTGATGATTTCTTTATTCACCCCATGAATTTATTTTCTCGGAATATTCACAGTCTATGTTAAAGATGGAGCTTACCCAGTCCACTACAGCAGCTGCAACGTCATCATCACCGTCACTGATCAGAACGACAACGCCCCCGTGTTTAAGAATAAGCTGTATGTTGTGCAGATCCCTGAGAACAGGGGTCAGACTTCGGTGCTGACCCTGGCGGCATCTGATCGAGACTTGGGAGAGAATGCTAGAATTACTTACGCTATCACAGGTAGGAGGTTTTCTGTTACCGAATCATGGAACTCTTTTTCTTTAGTTTATGTATGGCATCTCTCTCATCTTCGTTTTGCTGCCCCATTTTGGGGGAAAGGAACAGACCCCCTGCAGCACCAAACAAGGATGTCAGAAAAGACAATTTAGAAACAAAAAAAGGGGATGAGGTGTTTCCTTTGAAATTGGAGTGCATGCGAGGTGAGGAACCAACAGTCTGCATATAAATAAGCCAGACCTGTAACATGAATGTGCACACAAAACTCAAGTTCTGGAGCAAGACTAAAAGTCCAGAAGTTGTAAGTCCAGTTTCAGACCCCATCATTCATCTGTGGTTTTTTTTTAATGCAGGTATTTTAGAGATCTGTGGGTGTTGTTGCTGAAGCTTCAGAGCTTTGTGCTTTGTGTGAGGCTCTGCAGAAAGAAGTCCACCCATGGGAAGATGAAGCAAACAGAGGAGACTACAGAACAAATTGTGACTAGAACACTCAAGATTCACAACTGAATCTTTCTACTGGTCCTAACCAGTGGTCTAGCACACAGGTGGCTACGACCTGCAGCCCCACTTATTGTCAGAGGTCTTCCACGAAACCCATGTTGTCTTTATTAAGCATACTTACATAATTGTTTCAAAAGTAAATTTCCCTTTTCCACGCCTTTCAGGTGTATTAGGTATACAGGGCCCGACCTTTATTTTATAGACCAAGGACACAAAATGGGTGATGTGGTCAGCATCATGCCGGCCGCCTTTACCTCTCACTACTGCACCTGGTGCCCAATCAAGGCTGGGTTGACGTGAGATCCAAGGTCATTTTTTTTAAAAGTTCGGCTCTGCCAGGTAGCGAACCCATGACCTTCCCATCGGCAGGTGAGGGTCTAGCCGCTACGCCATGTTGACTTCCTTTTTTTCTTTCTTTTTTTTTTTTTTTTTTTTTACAAAAAGAAAGAGAAAACTTGAATTAGAATTTCAGAAAGGTTTGTGTTCCAAAGTTTCGGGTGTTTTTGTAAATGGTATCACAAACCACTTTGAATTTTTCCGCTGACTAGCAAATCATAAAGAATGGTCTAGAACAGTGATTAAAAGAACCTCTAATTACTTTAAGTGCATGCCTGAAGACCCAAAGGTCTTGAGTTTACATCCACATTGAATTGGATTACTTCCGAAATTGACCTTGGCTCCTTGGTTGACCTAGCCTAAAATGGGTTTCAAGGTAATATACTGGAAAGTAAAGGCAGCCTTGTATGGTGTTGATGACACCTCACCCACCAAGGGTCAGTTTGTTTAGAAAAATATGAGTCTAGCATCATATGCTTAATTTGACTTCACTTTACACATCACTTTACACTTCACACTACACTGCACTTTAAATAGCAATTTAAACTTTACTTTACACTTCACTGTACACTACACTTCACTTTGCACTACACTTTACACCTCACTGTACACTTTACACTAAACTTCACTTTACACTACACTTCAATTTGCACTTCACTTTACTCTTCACTTCACTTTGCACTTCACTTTACACTACACATCACTTTGCACTTTACTTTACACTATACTTCACTTGACACTTCACTTTCCACTTTACATTCATTTACTTATATGGGGTAAAACCAAATTCAGCAAAGACAGTCAATTCAGTCCTCTTTTCTTTCTTCTTTCTCTTGTTGCCTACTGCCTATGCCGTAAAGTGTCACAGAGAGAAGTTAGATGTAGTTTCTTGTCTTTTACTTTAAGTAAAGTAAAAAAAGTAAAGTAAAGATCCTTTTCCACGCCTATAGGAGTATCGGGCATATGGGAAAAGCGTCCATATTTTTACAGACCATCAGCACTCTGTGGGTAATGTGGTCAGCATTACGCCGGCTGTCTTTACTTTCCCAGGACAGCCCATCGTGGTACCCATTTAAGGCTGGGTCGACCTGCGACGCCCGATACCACGATAAAAAACCATGCAGCCAGCAGTGGGTTTCGATCGCAGTACGCTGTGTTAGGAATCGGACTCGCAACGCCTAAGCCACGGACTCCGCTCTCTTACTTTAGCAAGTGTTAAATGTCATATTGCATTTCTATAATGTTTCTTTTACTCCCTTCACTCATCGCTTTCTTGGTCAGCCTCTTTGCATTGTAGTCTGCTGTTCTCATGTTGTAGTGCGCTTTAGCAACTGGCTGGATTTGTTCCATTCTGACCAGATGACCGAAAACATTGACCGGTACTATGTCTATCATTGTTCTTAGTTTTTCCATGGGTGACTCCTCTTGACCTTCTCCTCTTGTTATCTTGAACTAGTGCATTTTCTAAAACATTCTGTGAAATCAGTTGTCTGTTTGAATTTCAGATGGTAACGATGGCAACTTCAGCATTGACCCACACCACGGGGACATCACCACAGAGCCACTGGACAGGGAAACCAGATCCACCTACAACTTGACCATCACAGCCAGTGACCACGGAACAAACTCACAGTCGGCAACTACGATTGTCATTGTCACCGTACTGGATGAGAATGATAACAGTCCTGTGTTTAGTGAATTGGTGAGATAGTGAATTTGGCAGTTATCTTCTTCTTTTTTAGTCCTCTTTTGCCTCTTCGGATGTCGAGGGAGTTATAACGTCCTGCTTCGTACTCTTCTGGCTGCTTTGACCATGGAAACATTGTGGTGCTGTAGAGTTTCTCTGATGTTATCTTCCCATCTTGTTCTTGGTCTACCTCTGCTCTGCGTCCTTTTCCTCTTTTGGTATGGTTAGGCATCAGAAGACATTCTCTCTAAGTGGTCAGGTAATTTAGAATTGGTTCTGTGCCGACTTTATCTCATATAACCTCATTCCTGATGTTATCTCTTCTCATCTCTCCTACAGTCTTTCTCAGTCACCTCATTTTCATGGTTACTAATTGTTCTGGCAGTTATGTTTATATTTTAATGTTTAATTAAGTCAAGATATCACCGCACTTGGGACATTCCCTATAAGCACCTCAGCCCCAGCTTCAGCAGCAAGCAGACTTCCAGTTCCATTGATACTAGTAATGGTCTGATTGTATATCCATCTTGCCTTTTCCCTGAGGGTTGAACATCAGCCAAATCCCCCTCATCATCCCTTGCAGCACCAATCTCCTCAGAGCATGATGACCCATCTGTGCTTCTGCACTGTTCACTCACATCCAAAAGGCCTTTACAGCATCTGGCTTGTCATGCATTAATTCAGTAAACTGAATTATTGAACAGAATGCTTTGTAAAATAATGAACATTACTGAGAAAGATTAAGGTGAGAACAGCAGAAGAAAAAAGATGAAAGGCTAACTGATGCTTGCAATGTTAATAGCAGACGACTGTTTTCCCGTGATGTATGTTAGATGAATTTATATTATGATTGAATAAGTTGAAAAGTGGTCTGTCTCTCTGTCTGTCTGCCTGCCTGCCTGCCTGCCTGACTGTCTGTCTGTCTGTCTGTCTGCCTGCCTGCCTGCCTGCCTGCCTGCCTGCCTGCCTGTCTGTCTGCCTGCCTGCCTGCCTGTCTGTCTGTCAGTCTCAGGTATATGTGTATGTGTATGATTGTGCATATATGGTCATGTGTATATGAATGGCTGTATGTATGAATGTGTGGGTATATATGAGGTGGGTTAACTTGCATCATTGTTTGTGAGTTATTGGAGATAATTTTTTTTTTTTAATGTGCATGAAAATGAAACTGCAGCACAATAAAAGAATAAAGATTAAGGATTATGCTAATAAAAGCATTGAGCCATTAGGCATAATTTTTGTCTTTTTTATGTTTTGTTGTTGCACTGATGAAGGGTTTCTAGCTACAACATCCATTCTGTCACTTGTGATTACATACTTGTCAAATTAACCCTTTCCACTGTCTAATTTTGTAATGTATTCACTGATATCAAGATATTAAAAAAGATTCATTGCTGTCCTCTGCTCAACAGGCGTACAACACCTCTGTGCCAGAAAACACAAAGGAAGGAAGTGTCCTCCTGAAAGTGTCAGCCAATGACCCAGATCTGGAACAAAATGGCCAGGTGATGTATTCACTGGGCAACAACACAGATGGTGTCTTTGAGATCAACAGCACCACCGGAGAAATCACCACTAGTGGGTGAGTATACAACAATTCTTTGACCAGAGTTTTTAGTATGTTCAGTGTTGTCTAATGATGTCATAGCACTCGGGACCTTCCCACAAGTACTCCGTTCTCATCGTCAGCAGCCAGCAAAGAGTTCCATTTCATATGGTGCCAGTAGCAATTTGATTACATGTTTGTCTCTCTTTCACTCCAAGTGTAAATTGCTGATCAGATTTTCTGGTCACTCCTAGCTGTACTATTCTCTTCAACCTGCAATGACCTGTTTGAGCCTCTGTATTGTTCACTTGCTCCCGAAGGGCCTTGGCAGCATCTAACTTGTCATGCATAAATTCACCAACCAATAAGACAAAATCAGCCAGTCTGTCTGCATGTTCATATGCCAACACTCTTCTTTCCCTGGGGTGGGGGTGGGGGGAGGAGGGGGGATCCTTTGAAGTCAGAGTTCATCTGCCTGAGAGGCAAGTGACCAACAGTCTGCCCACAAGTAAGCCAGATCTGTAAAAAGGATGGCATGTAAAACTCAGGTTCTGGAAGAAGACTAAAGTTCAGAGGTGGCCAAACAACCAGAACCTGGCTGCCAGAGTTTACAGCCAGTAAAGAAGAAGAAGAAGGTTTGTGTTAATGTGAAGCTGACCGATTCTAATTTGGTTTGGTAAGTCTTGCACCAGAAGCCTGATGTGGCACTGGCATTAAAATGGTCCTGTACTTTTTTTGTTTTGTTTTTGTTTTTAGACTTAATACAGTAATTACTAAATACAGAAATATTGTGTCTTTGTGCAGGGTGTTTGATAGAGAGAAAGTGGCCAACTACTCGTTTCTGGTGGTTGCATCAGACAATGGAGTGTTTGGACCAAGGAACTCCACCAGTCACGTCTTCATCACCATCACAGATATCAACGACAACCCCCCAGCATTCGCCCTGGTTCCCTACACCGTCAGTCTCAGCCCGTCAACTCCTGCCAACACACTTATTCTCAACGTGACCGCCAGGGATCCTGACTTCGGCAGTAATGGCCTCATAGAATACACACTGCAAGCAAATACTGGATCTAATGACATCATGCAGGTAAGGACCTTTTTTTATTTTTAAACCACATGGAGTCTAGCGCAGCTGTCCTCTTTGCATATGGCGATACACACCCAGGTTTGTCTTTAGGAGGATTCAGTTTAAAGAAAATAGATGAGGAGAGCGATGGTCATGTCGATAGTGGTGAAAATGATGGCCGCTCATGCTTGCTGCATGCTTCTCACATAACTCTGATGCTTGAAAAATTAAATGTCTGGAAACAACAGGTTTTTTTCTGTTCTGTCATTATTGTGATAGATCAGTAATGTCACAAACAACATCAATAATATTATCAATTGCCGCTGTTTTAGCTCTATGGTTAAATATTTGTGAGGTTACATTGTGTTCATCTCTAGGTAAACAAATCCTAACTAACTATTGTCTGTTTCTGACTTGACTAACTGTGGCAAATGATATCCCCTCCCACCTAAAATTAAAATGATACTTAATTGAACATTTTGATTGGGGATAATGAGATCTGAAAGTAGAAGAGGAACTACTAAACAAGATTGCAAGGCACATAAAATCTAAGGATACAGCAGGAAACTGTAATGCACTACAAAACTCTAGGCAAGAAGAGGAAAGGCTGACAAAAGCAAAGGACTACTACTACATTCTAGAATTAAAAAAAGAAAAACTTGTGCAAGATTAAGTTAGATGTACACCACAAGTTAGTAGTGATACAACTATGAATGAATAAATCATTACTTACTGATTATTTCTTCAGAGTGTGATGATTGACAGAACATCAGGGAAAGTTTACACAAATGGCACCCTGGTACAAGGACGTTACAGTGTCTTGGTTGTGGCTACTGACTCAGCCGCCTTTCCATCTGCCAGATTGTCATCTACCGGTAAGTAAACAAGTTCCTGATTCTGGCTTCATCTGTTCACCTGCTACTGCAAACTCTTCTGTTATTAAGTCACTTTTGTTATTTCAAAAAACAAAACAGTTTGTACTTCATGTATTTGTCACTGTTAAGTCAGTGTGCGGCTGCTCCTTCACTTAGAGGTTAGCAGACTGGTTAACAATGTCTGATCCTCAAGTAGTAGGGTTTCTTTCTTCCTTATGGTGGACAGCTAGGACAAGAGAACCATTCTCATGGTTTCTGGACAGTGGTATAAGAGTTGTACTGTGGAACAGATTGGGGCCTCACCACCTAATATTCCCAAAAACAAGAGGGATACAATGTAACCAACCTTCACTGTGAAGACAGCACATTTTCTATTGTTTTTTATATGTGAAAGGGAAGGGAGGGAGGCAGAGGTCATTATCCTGAGAATTTTACTCCTTTGTCATTTGGAGTTTGGACAACTCTGTGTAAGTGTCACTTTGGTGACTTGTTTACAGTCACCTGTTTATGAAATGCTCAGTTAATGCTACTGGCTGAGTCTATGCCTGCACAAATGGATAGGAGGTCAGGATATGAATACATTAACTGCAGATACCATTGAAAGGGGTGGGGGGGGAGTCATTTGAGCCATATCATCATCATCATCAGGTGCCTTGCCGACTGGCGTGGGTGATCATGCCTCTCCATAATCCATGATCTCTTGCAGCATGTATCAGTTCGTGTGCCGACAAACCTTCATGCCATGCAACAAGACTGTCAAGAATCTTCTCTCATTGTCTTCCTTTATCCCTCCTTCCACAAATCTTTCCAGTGGTCACAACATGTTCTATTTTCCCTCTTCTAATAACATGGCTGAAAAATGATGACTGTCTCCTTCTGATGTCTGTGATAAGTTGTCTTCGGGGCTCCCATTTCTTTCCAAAACCTCTTGGTTGCTGTCCAAGGTATTCTAAGCTATATATAGTGTAAGAGCCATATAGCTTGTTTAAACCCCAAGTTGATGTCCCTTAATCTGCAGGGATAAAGCTCACAGGGTCACAGCGTGAGTCACCTGGTACATATGTTTTTCTAATGCCTAACCTTTGTTCATGTTTTTTTATAATACATTTTTAACAAATTTATTAGTGACCTGTATATAAGTTTTTTTTTTTTTATTTTTTTTTTTTTTTAATCTGGAATTTTAATAGAGTCATGACCTATTTTGTTAAAAGGAAAGTTTTTCACAGTTTTCAAAATGTTTAATTAAACAAAATAAAGAATAAAAACAGTTGTCATGTTTACTTGTATTTCTTTGAACCATGCTAGAACAATTGTGTTTCTTGTGCTTGCTCAGGTGTCATTGAAATCACAGTTGGCACTGGAGACAGCAACATACTTCAGTTCTCTCAGCCGGAGTATAGTGTTCAGATTCCAGAGAACTTTGGCAGGGGTAACTCTGTTATCAACATCACAGCTAGTTTTGTGTCTGCATCACAACCGTCGCAGTCCACAGTGTACAGCTTTGCCAATGGAAATGAGAACAAAGCTTTCAGGATTTCTAACAGGACAGGTAGGAATTACAAGGCTTAGTTTTGGGTGTTTGTTTTATCAACTCAGACGTGATGAATACCACATCACTAATGTAGTGCCGGTTTCTATAACATATAGGTCTAGCACCATATGCCCTATACGTCCAGAGTTGTGGAAAATGGTCCTTTACTTTATTTGCTTGACTTATTTCTGAACTGAGAATAGAAGTATCACAGCTGTTACCCACAAGTGGTCAGTCATTTTTAGTGGATGGCGACAGTAAAGTCAACTGAGGTGAGAAAGAGAATTCTCAAGAGCTATATAAATCCTGTCCTGGTATACAGAAGTAAATCATGGACAGTCGGCCAAGTATGTGAAAGGGGCTAAGATGTGGTTTTATAGATGAATGGTGAGAACAAACTGGACAGATAAAAAGAGTAATGAAGATGTCTTGAAAGACTCCAAAAGATATTCTGTTGTCTACATTAGAAGAAAACAATCTGCATTCTTTGGTGATATCATGAGAAGGAGAAAACTGGAGTAGAATATGTTGGTGGGAAAATTGGAGGTAAAAAAGATGGAGAGGGAGACAAAGAGAGAAGAAGCTGGACAGTTTGATATCATGACATGAAAGATAATCTGTATCGGAATTGATTAAAGGTACACATGACAGAAGCTTGTGGATAGATATGACTACCAGTGCCACAAGGTATGAAAGATGGTCATGTCAGAATTGATTGAAAGTAAGTGAGGCAGAAAGTTGTGGGTTCACATGACTACCAATGCCACATGGTATAAGTAAAAGTACTGATCCCTTTTCACGCATTTAGGCACATTAGGCATATGGAAAGAGCACCAATATTTTTACAGACCAATCAGCACTAGGTAGGTAGTGTGGTCAGCAGCTTTACTTCCCCAGGACATACATCCTGGTACCCATTTTAGGCTGGGTCCACCTGCAATGCCCCGTACGATGATAAAAATCGACTCAGCCAGCAGTGGGTTTCGATCGTGGTACGTTGGAATTACGCGTCGGACTCGCAGTGCCTTAGCCACAGAAGTCGTGCCACCTGGTATGGACAAAGGAAAAAAAGAAAAGAAAAAAAAAGAAAGTATACTTGGTTTGAGTTGTTGGGTATTTGGTAATATAAATTTAATAAATTGATACAAGGAAAAGATAACAAGTTATACTGTACATTTCACCCTTGTGGGTTCAGGGTCCCTTTTTAGGAAAAAATAAAAAAGAATAAACCCACCACACCTTAAAATATCTGTCATCATAAAAGGCAACTGATGAGGAATTTGTTGAAATTATGTGTTTGGCCAGAAAATGCCTATATCACAGCCTAGCTGTAAAATACAACAGAGTGTGCCAACTGCACTTTTTAACTTTTTTTTCATTAAATAGTGCCATGAAAACTGTAACCAATTGCAGTGTTCTAGGAAATGATAAGAAGTGGAATTTATCCCTTTGGTTGCCAGATTCTTTCAGTATAACATTGACTAAAACTTAAATATAATATGTAATGTTTGAGAAATATGGGCAACAATTACAGTAAAACATCATGCATTGTTTTAGACTGAACAAGTTTAGGAACATGAAGATGACAATGATAAGATAGATAAGATACTTTGAAACCACAGTAAAAAGAGTGAAAGATGTCAATGAATTAAGGATGATTTCATCACTGATCCTGTCAGGTCAAATAACGGTAGCAGACCCTGTCAGTTTGGATTATGAAGTCACACACCAGATCCGACTGATTGTGGCTGCGGTCAATGGCAACTACCACACGTACGCAACAGTGTGGGTGAATCTCACAGATGTCAATGACAATGCTCCAAAGTTCTCCCAGAGCCGGTACCTGTCAGCCATCTGGGAAAACAACCAACCGGAGACTTACGTGACTCAGGTAAAATTTTGTCTCATCTCCTTTCATCATCATCATCATCATCATCAATTTCCACTTCTGCCATTAAGCGTTGTGGGAGGGAACTGTTCGCGGTCCACTGCTTAATGGGCAGCAGTATCTAGTGTCATTCTGTGTCAGTGTAGAAGCTCCTTAATCTTATCAATCCATCTTCTCCTAGGACAGCCTCTTCCTTTCACTTCAGATCTTTTAACTCTTTGAGTCCCAGGGGGTTTAGCATCGCAGGCCCAGGGTATAGTAATGAAAGTAATAAAATTGGTGCATCATGCGTTCATTGGGCTTCTAGGTAGGAACCTATGAACGTATGATGCCTTCCTTGGGACTCAAAGGGGTAGTGTGTAGCGCCTACGTTGGTAGTTGTTCTGCCTGCATTCTTACTGACCAAACCATTCGATCTTCTGTTTCCCCAATGAATTTGCTGCATGGTGTTGATTTCATCTCCTTTATGATTTATGATAATAAATGTAGGAGCCCTATGTGTAATTCTCTAGCTTAGCAGCACATTGAACCAGCCTTCAATTTCAGTAAATGATGTTTTCTGCAGAACCAGATGGTTCTGGTGTTCCCCATTGCGGGTTCCAAGCACCCATTACAGGGAAAACAAGAAGGGACCCGCCACCTCCCCAACAAGCATGTCATAGGAGTCGACTGATTGGGGAAAGTAAAGGAGAGTAGTTAACTAGGTGGTTATGGGTATTGTCAGTTTGGAGTCTCTTCACTGGCTGTTGAGAGGACAGATTTCGTATGGGCTTGTCCTGAAGGCTACAATGTAAAATCTTTACCCACATGAACCTAGACAGACACTGTTGTTTGAATACAATGCTACAAAGAGGCGCTGACTGAGAGAGAGAGAGAGAGAGAGAGAGAGAGAGAGAGAGAGAGAGAGAGAGAGAGAGAGAGAGAGAGAGAGAGAGAGAGAGAGAGAGAGAGAGAGAGAGAGAGAGAGAGAGAGCACTGACATTAAAATGGCAGAGCATCAACAGACAAAGATATAAAAAGCTTCTGTCTATCAAGCATATAACTGCCATTGAGAGATCATGATAATCTTCAGGCTATATGGCATCACCAACAATGCTTAAGAAACACATTGATATAGACATGCATTCCCATCAACTCCTTTAATCCCAAAAGAATTTCATAGCAGTTGCCTAGATAGGTAACATAGCCAGTATGAAAAATCACCACTTTATTCATTTCAGACAGCTGAATATTACAGCAGAAGTGGTCACTAAATAAGGCAGATGTCTTTACTGTTCAGTGACCAAATGTAAAATCTTTACTATTATGTGACCAAATGTAAAATCTTTACTATTCAGTGACCAAATCTAAAATCTTTACTATTCTGTGACCAAATGTAAAATCTTTACTATTCAGTGACCAAATGTAAAATCTTTACTATTCAGTGACCAAATGTAAAATCTTTACTGTTCTGTGACCAAATGTAAAATCTTTACTATTCTGTGATGAAATGTAACCACTTAGAGAAGACATTATGCATAATTTGTGAATCATAGCACAAAGCCCGTCAAACATCTTGGGCATCTTGGGAGTGAAAGTTAACTGTGAGTTCTGATTCCTGCAGGTGTTTGCTCGAGATGCTGACAGTGGACCCAATGGGGAAATCATCTACTCAATCATTGGAGGAGATGATGATCACGTGTTTGCCTTGGCTAAACCTCACACAGGAATCATAGTCACCAGTATTGATGCAGCACCTCTCGACAGAGAGGTACAGCCTGATGGCTACAGGTAGGCACAGGTCTCTTGTTGTATAAGGTCTTTGGAAAGAAAAAGCCATAATTTATCTAAACAATGCTGAAAAATCTGTTGTTTTACACTAATAATTCATTATAAAATTAGTTTATATACATTTTAACATGCAGCGTCTGTGGCTTAGGCATTGTGAGTCAGACTCGTAATTCCAATGTATCACGAGTGATACCCACAGTAGGCTGTGTGGATTTTTATCATGGTATGTGGCATCGCAGGTCGACCCAACCTAAAATGGGTACCAGGGTGTATGTCGTGGAGATGTAAAGACGGCCAGCATAATGCTGACCACATTACCCACCAAAAGTTCTGAGTCTCCAGTTTTACTATATATAGCTGAACAAACATAAGTGATTTATGACATAACTGGAGGTAGCTAATATCACTATCACCTCACACTTAAATGATGTCATCCTTAGGTTGACCATTGAGGCTCGTGACAGAGGCAACCCAAGCAAGTCCAACTCATGTGTTCTTGTTATCAACATTGTGGATGAGAACGACACTCCACCAAACTTTCCTGAGATTCAGCCAGTAAATGTCAGTGAAAGTAAGTAACTTCTGTATGACTGGGCCATTTAATGTCACTGTACATACCTTCTCTGAGATTGGTTTATATAAGAGTGGTTTTTTTTAAATGTGCCTGAGATATTTCACCTCTCTCTTTTTTTTTTTTTAATTTATTTGTGTCAACAACTTTTTTATTGCTGATAATGATGGTTTAAATATATGTCATTGAAAAAATCTAAGTAAAGAGCTATTAATATTCATATCAAAGGTGAATAGGATATCTCTTTCACTGCCATTAAATCTTGCTCTGGGGATCGAGCTTCATGTTTCACTTTAGAAAATAGCCTTTTTTATAGTTTAGGTTTTTGATCCCAGCAGGTGTCAATGTTCGGCATACCTTCATCATAATTTTACAATCACTCTTACTTTTATATTATTTTATTTTAGTTTGTTGTACCCGTTATTGTAATAACTAATTTTTTATTTGTATTTTTAATAGCATTATTCTCACCATTGGCATTATTGTTACTATTATTTCTACGACTAGCTTGATCATTATGTCTGTTAGTTTTTTTTTTTGATGATTAGTATAACTATTTTTATTATTTGCATTCCTTCATTTTTGTAGTCATTCCTCATTACCTTTTCCTCTCCCTATAATTTATAGTTATTCATGTACTTCCCTGGCAGCCAGGATACTCTGCCCCTTGTTGTTGTGTTTTTCTTGATAAAGGCTGCATCTGAAATGACTGATTTTTCCTCTGTGTGTGTGTATGTGGGTGTGTGTTAACACCCCCCCCCCCCCATTCCCCACCCATTATTAAGCTTCTTTGTCACAGCTCAGTTTATTAATTTCTGAGAGATTCATAATCTGCTGTCCAATATTTGACCCGGAAGTCATTTTGTATAATCATGCACTGCACTCCATAACTCTAGGTCGTGATGTGGGCTACACTGTTGTCATGGCAACAGCCAATGATGTGGATCTGAACCCCATCCTTGTGTACGACTTCACCACAGATGGAAATCCTGACAACACCTTCAGCCTTGACCGTTCAAGAGGACGGCTCACCCTGGCCAAACAACTGGACCATGAAAAGAAGTCCCATTACTCTGTGGGCCTCCAGGTATGGCATCATGTTTCTTTCATTCTTTTTTGTTAACCTCGTTTTTTTTAAATCTATTTCTTACATAAGATCACTTTCATCATCATGTGCCCTGCCAACTGGCGTAGGCTCTCATGTGTCTCCACAGAACACAATCCCTGGTTGACTGGAACAGCTCTCTTTAAGATATCCCTCCATGCCACTGTTTTAGCCCATTCAGCATCATTTCCGTTGGTCTGCCTCCACCCTGTTTTTCACTGATCTTTCTAGTTGTCACGATGTTCTCCAATGTCTCTCTTCCCATCATGTGGCCAAAGAACAGTGTTTTCTCTTTCTTACAAAGATCTCTTTAGCCACTTAAGATGCCATGTAATCCCCCAAGTTAGCCCTGTCAACAAGTGCTCCATGAAGGCGGATATCTCAGACAAAAGGTGCAGATATCACAGTTATGCTGAGAACAGGCACAACTCAATTACATCACTGAGACTAATCAAAAGAAGAAGAAGAAATGTCATAAAATGTTATTCCTTCTTCTTCTTAAAGTCCATGCAATGTGGCATTGGTAGTCATATCTATCTATCTACAACCTTCTGCCTCATGTACTTTCAGTCAACTCTGACACTGATGATCTTCCATGCCATGATGGCAAACTGTCCAGCCTCTGTTATTCCTATGCCGACTATTAAAAACTTCCATCATAGTACCCCTCCATGAAATTTAGCTTACAGTGATTGCCAGTGCTTCCACAAACCTATGCCTACATGGATCGATCAGTTTATGCACCCCTCTCAGCTGCTTCCTGAAAGTTAAGAAAACAGTCTTATCTGCATGGTAGACCAACAAGGCAGGTCACAAATACCTGGTGTAAACTCTAAAGAAGTTATAAGTAGGGACCCTTGTAATGGCTAAACCAGCCCAGTGAAGCCTAGTCTTATGCGGGTAAGGAACATTTAGTACTTCTACATTAGATACTAAGAAATTGGGCTTACACTGAAATAAAAAAATTATTGGAATAGAAAACACTATATATATCCTGATTATACCTCAGATGGGTTGAACAGGATTTTATTGTTTAAATTACTACTATTACTGATTGTGAATGTACTACTGATTGTGAATGTACTACTGATTGTCAATGTACTACTGATTGTTAATGTACTACTGATTGTGAATATGCTACTGATTGTCAATGTGCTACTGATTGTGAATGTGCAACTGATTGTGAATGTACTATTGATTGTGAATACTGATTGTGAATGTACTACTGACTGAATGTACTACTGATTGTGAATGTACTACTGACTGTGAATGTGCTACTAATTGTGATTGTACTACTGACTGTGAATGTACTACTGACTGTGAATGTACTACTGACTGTGAATGTACTACTGACTGTGAATGTACTACTGATTGTGAATGTACTACTGACTGTGAATGCACTACTGACTGTGAATGCACTACTGACTGTGAATGCACAACTGACTGTGAATGCAGGACTGACTGTGATTGTACTACTGACTGTGAATGTACTACTGACTATGAATGCACTTCTGACTGTGAATGCTCCCATCATAGTTTTCCTACAACACACCATTTTTCTGTGGACTGATTGCATCTTTTGAAGTAGATCAACCCAAATCAGTGTTCACCATCATGGTGTAGCAGCTAGATGGGCACTATGGATCCAAAGGTCATGGGTCCAGATCCGTATTGTGTTGGATTTTTATAAAAAGACATGACCTTGGTTCTCGGGTCGACCTAGCCTTAAATAGGTACCAGGTAAAGTCATGGGAAGTAAAGGTGGCTGGTGTGGTGTTAACCGCAGCAACCGCTGAGCATGGATTGGTCTGAAAACCTCATATACCTTTTATGTATTTAAGGACCTTTGCTTTACTGTCTTTTTATTTATCAGAATCTATGGCTAGATTGCTTCCTTTTCATAATTTACCTAAATTTTCCCACGTATTCCTAATTTTTGCCATTTTCATGTTAATTAGCTATATTTTCATAATTCACTATATATTCAGCCACCTTAATGTTATCTAAACTTTTGTCCTTTGCCAGGTAACTGATGGCAAGCCTGACCATGTGAGGACGACCTGGTTGGATATTTATGTTGATGATGAAAATGACAACCCTCCAGTGTTTTCTCAGTCTAATTACGAGGTGAACTTCCTGTAAATTGTTGTTATTTTTTTTTTTTTTTTTGATTCAGCATTGCTGGAACTTGAACTTGAGAACAGAAAAAAATCAAAGAATCAGACTGCTTGAACCTGCCTCGAAGGCTTGACTTTATTTGTGTCCTTGTCTGACTGACTGACTTTCTACCCCACCAGGACATCACACAAGCGATAAACACCCGATGACATTTTGTGCCACCATGTGGGTGAGGATCACCGTGGAGAGGTCCCAGAAACTGCGTTCAGCCTTTAGGCCATATTTATAGCGAGGCTATATTGCGGCCCCTGGCAAGAGCCAGAGTAGTGCTTCAAATAATGAAAAATTGCACCTCACAAGGAGATGACTGAATTATATAATTATATATTATCGTGTCCCTTGTTCCTTTGGGGTTTTATTGATTTCTGTCCTTGTGACATGGGTTTATGTCTTGTTGTGGTTTTAGCTGGCACTTCTGTCTTCTTTGTTTAAATGCTATGTAGGGATATTTAACCCTATCACCTTATGAAGTCACAAACCTGGCATTTCGGTTGTTGTCACATTCCTATAAAGGCTGCTAAACTGGTGTGTCTGAGTGACTGGTTTCAGAGAAGAAGAATTTAGCATCATTGGTTCTGTTCATGCCTGCACAGTATTTCCTCTTCCTAGGATAAGCCTACTGTCCTCCCCAGTGAGCCACTTCACCTGAAATCTTTGGCACAATGTGGAATTTCAGGTCTGGCATATGCCTGCCAACATTAAATGTTAACAGAAAACAGATAGTAGTTAGTGACTACTGTTATATGGTACCTCACTCATATCTAACTGAAGCATGACCTAAAGACAATCTTGAAGTGACAGTAATTTTTATGATAATTATGACACATAAAGTAACTATTCTAACTAGGAACAGCCAGAAGGAGCAACCCGGATGTTTTGAAACTGACAGGGACTCAAAGACAACTTATCACAAACATCAGAAAGAGACGGTCATCATTATTTTGTAATACTATGAGAAGAAGGATATGTGAACATGTTGGGACCACTGGACAAATCTGGAAAAAGATACAAAGAAAGACAAAATCAGAAGATTCATGACACCCTTTTGTCAGGGCATGGAGGGGTGTCAGCACACAAACTATAACATGCTGCTGAAGGTCACAGTTTGTGGAAGAGGTGTGAGTGCCTATGTCAGTTGGCAAGGCACTTGATGAGGATGATGAAGTAACTATGCATTGTCCATGTCCTGTCAGGGCCCTTAGGGCAAGTAACGAATGTTAACAAAGCACCCCACCAAGCATGTCCTATGAGGAAGAAATGAACAAACTTTATGCTTTCTAACCCTCCGTCCCCATGTGGGACACATTTTTCGCTGCTGTGAAGCCCCACTCTGGTTGTTGCCAGGGGCCCTAATATAAGCTAATGGTTCAACAGGGTTTCTGGGACATCTCCACAGGTGATCTTCATCCAAATAGTGGCACTTTGTGTCACTGGTTGTTTATTGCTCAGTGTGATTTCTTAGTGGGATAAAAAGTCAGTCAGAGTTTGTGTTCAGGGGATTGAGACAAGGGTAGGGTTTATTTTGGGAATGGCAGTCATATCATATATAAATAGATTTAGCATCAAAAGTCAACCAGTTATGAATGCCAAGATGCAAGATTGTTGAAGGGCTTATGCTCAATTTAGGGATACAGGCAGAAAAAAGAAGAAAAAAACTGTTAATAATTTTTAGTGACATGGGAGACAGCATCAGAAATGATGAAATCAGAACCATGTTGGGAGGGTAGCAGTGCTAAACATGAGGCAAGATATTAACTCATTCAGGCATATGTCAAGACTACAACAAGATAATGAACCTTAGGGAGCCGTGTCAGACTGAATTGTAGCACTGCTAAACTATGTCATGAGGCAAGATATTAACTCATTCAGGCATATGTCGAGACTACAACAAAATAATGAACCACAGAGAGTCCTGTCAGACTGAATGAGAGCAGGACTAGAGGGTTACAATGAAAGTCATGGATAGATGGAATATCAGTGGTTGTGAATCCCAGCATCTATGCTGTACACTCCAAGGCTGGCACCAGATGCTTCTCTAAAATTCTGACTATGTAAGACAGAACAATGTCTAGAGAAAAGATAAAAGTGACATGTAAAACAGAGCCTTGTTCTTCATTCTGTGAGCAGGTAGCCCTTCCAGAGCAGACTGGGCCCCAGCAGTCGGTGATCACAATCTTGGCCAGTGATGCAGACTCGGGTCGGAACGCAAAGATAACCTACAGCATGGCACCCACGGCTATCGACAGCTTCTACATCAACTCTCAGACAGGTCAGTGTCACTACTGGGTGTGGTATAGCATAGGGTGTCACCACTTGGTGTGGTATAGCATAGGGTGTCACCACTTGGTGTGGTATAGCATAGGGTGTCACCACTTGGTGTGGTATAGCATAGGGTGTCACCACTTGGTGTGGTATAGCATAGGGTGTCACCACTTGGTGTGGTATAGCATAGGGTGTCACCACTTGGTGTGGTATAGCATAGGGTGTCACCACTTGGTGTGGTATAGCATAGGGTGTCACTACTTGGTGTGGTATAGCATAGGGTGTCACTACTTGGTGTAGTATTGGTACTGGGTGGGGTGTTGCACAGGGTGATGTCACTGCTGGATGTGTTGTCAATACTAGGTGTGTTGTAGTACAGCATGTGTGTGGTGTATTATAGCACAGGGTATGGTGTCAGAACTGGATATTATAGCACATTGTGTGGTGTCAGAACTGGGTATTATAGCACAGGGTGTGGTGTCAGTACTATGTATTATAGCATGAGGTGTGGTGTCACTACTGTTTGTGGTAAAGAATGTTTTGTTGGTACTGGGTGGGTTGTCAGTACTATGTGGTGGTTTGACAACGAGCGGTAAGGTATGCGGTGTAGCATAGTACTGTGTGTGGTGTCATTACAGGGTATTACTGGGCATTGTGTAGTACTGGCTCTGGTGTCAGTACTGTGTGGTATAGTTCAAGATGCAGTTTAGTATTGGGTATTGTGTAGTTCTGCTGGGTGTGGTGTCAGTACTGTGTGGTGTAATACTGGGCATGATGAAGTACTGGGTGTTGTTTCAGTTCAGGGTAATATAGTACTGTGTATGGTGTCAGCACTGTATATGGTATCCGCACTGGTTGTGGTGCCTGTACTGGGTGGTATGGTCGCATATCCATTTAATTTATCATTTTATTTGACACAAGGGCAGACAACCTATTAGCTATAGTGCCCCCTGTCTTATTTCAATATTCAAAGGAGAGGCAAGGTGCACATGCAATCCAACCACTGCTAGGACTATCAAAATAGGAACTTTGTGCTGGCTGCTGAAGGTGGGAAAGGGGAACTTATGGAAATGTTATAAATGCTATGACTCAGTCCTTAACTCAACTCAGCTCAATTTAATGTCCAACTGATCACAATTGTGTGTCTGCTGCAGGTACAATCTACACAAATCGTACGATCGCATTTACTTCGGGGCAGTCCATCATCCAGTTGGTGGTCGTTGCAAAAGATAATGGGACCGTTGTACAGTCGTCCATGGTGTCAGTTCACATACAGATCACTGACGTCAACAAGTTCACACCGAGGTTCCTGGGACCACCAAAATATGTGTAAGTATATCTATAGTATATTTTTTTTGTTATGTTCTGCCACAGGTTTGTCTTTGTTACATGTATTTTACCTGCACGGAGTTGTGGACTTCTTTTTATCTGCACTGAGTTTTGGACTCTTTTACTTGTATTGAGTTTTGCACTCATTTACCTGCACTTAATTGTGGACTCTTTTTACCTGCACTGAGTTTTTCACTCTTTTTACCTGCACTGAGTTTTGCACTCTTTTACCTGCACTGAGTTGTGGACTCTTTTACCTGCACTGAGTTTTGGACTCTTTTACCTGCACTGAGTTTTGGACTCTTTTACCAGAACTGAGTTGTGGACAACCGTTGAAAAAATGAATCCCATTTCTTTGACAACCAGCTCTGCCCTTTAAACTGCTTGCGCCATCTCTTAGACAATCTGTCCCACCCCTTAGACAGCATGTCCCACCTCTTAGGCAGCAAATATTTTTACAACCTGTCCCATCTCTTAGACAGCCTATCCAATCTCCTAGACAGCCTGCTCCACACCTTAGACAACCTGTCCCATTTCTTAGACAACCTGTCCCATCTCTAAGACAACATATTCCATCTCTTATACATCTTGTCTCACCTACAGACAAGCTAAGACAACATATTCCATCTCTTATACATCTTGTTTCAGACAAGCTAAGACAACATATTCCATCTCTAATACATCTTGTCTCACCTACAGACAAGCTAAGAAAACATATTCCATTTCTTATACATCTTGTCTCCCCTACAGACAAGCTAAGACAACATATTCAATCTCTTATACATCTTGTCTCCCCTACAGACAAGCTAAGGACAACATATTTCATCTCTTATACATCTTGTCTCACCTACAGACAAGCTAAGACAACATATTCCATCTATTATACATCTTGTCTCACCTACAGACAAGCTAAGACAACATATTCCATCTCTTATACATCTTGTCTCACCTACAGACAAGCTACCCCACCTTACATATGCTCAACAGATGATCCAGAGTGAAAAAGTAAATGACCCTTTTCTACGCTGTCATCCATACTGGGCATATAGGGCTAGATCTATATTTTATAGACCAGTCAGCACTTGATGGGTGATGTAGTCAGCTTCACAGTAGCTGCCTTTACCTTCCAGGACTTTACCTGTATTGGTTTAACACTGGATTGGCCTGGGGTAATTTTTGATAAAGGTCTGTTTCCATTCAGATTGGAACTCATGACCTTCCAATCTACAGGCAAGTGTCTAGCCACTACACCATGGCGGCTCTCCCAATACACCTAGTACCTGTTTTAAAAAAAAAAAGCAATCTACAGGCCCGTAAAATCTATGTTAGATAACATGTCCCATCTTTAAAAAAACTTGTTCTATTGGTTAAAAAAACATGTACCACCTTTAAAAGAACTTCTTTTGCCTGCTAGAGAATGGGTACCAGCTTTAAAAGAACTCGTTCTACCTGTCAGAGAACCTGTCCCAATTACAAGAGAACCTATATGACCTGTGTGAGAAACTGTGCCACCTGACATATGATATTTGTCTGTTTCAGTGCCCACATCAGGGAGTCAGCCCAGAGAGGCAGCGAAGTCCTCCAAGTGTCTGCAGTAGACGAGGACAACAGCCACCGTGGCGACAATATCAACTACACAATCATTGGTCCTGGCAGCGAAATCTTCCTTATTCGTCAGCGCACTGGTAACATTTTCGTCAATGGAGCCATTGATTTTGAGGTGAAAAAACAATATGACTTAACAGCAGTAGCCACCGATCGAGGCATTCCACCAAAGAATTCTTCAATTGCTGTTACCATTTTCGTCGATGATGAGAATGATAACCCACCAGTGTATCTGGAAGACAAATATTCTATTACTTTGGAGGAGAATGCAGAGGCACTAAAGGTGTTTTTATTTGTCAATGCTACAGATGCCGATTCAGGGGTTAATGCTGCCATTAAGTATTCAATCACTTCAGGGAACAGTGAAGGCATCTTCTTGAACCCACACAACGAAGGCGGGCTGATGATAATGGAAGGAATGCATCTGGATTACGAGTCACACCAGTCCCATCGGTTGATCATTCGGGCGGTCGACTGCAATGGCTGTCCTCCAACAACTCCTCGTCTGTCGTCGTTTGTGACAGTGGACATCATTGTCACGGACGTTAATGAGTTTAAGCCTCGCTTCCCGGTCAAGCATTACCTGGAGGACATCCTGGAGGGCTCAGAAGTGGGCAGTGTTGTATTTCGAGCACATGCCAATGATGGAGATGGAGGAGAGATGGGTTTAGTGACTTACAGCCTCATGAATGAGTATGATTTTGATAAATTCTCTATAGACACCTTGACTGGGGAAGTTAGTTCCAAGTATGTTTTTGACTACGAGGCAGAGAAAGCCTTGCATCTGTATAATCTGACCATCATTGCCACAGATGGAGGGCAGTATTATGATATGGCTGATGTGACTGTCCGAGTTGTGGACAGAGATGAGTATGACCCAGTCCTCGCCGCAGAACAATATACCTTTGAGGTGCCTGGTTCTGCCAAAGCAGGGCATTTCATTGGTCAGATTTCTGCTTCTGATCGAGATGGAGGAGAGGCAGGCAGACTTGTTTACTCATTTTTAGAGGCCAGCGAATACTTTGGTATTAACCCATTCACAGGAAACATTAGTGTTATAGTCACTCTTCACGAGGACCCGCCCAGACCCCGACAAGGGACGCGACAGAAAAGAACCCTCACAACTGACCAAGAGATACTCACAATTATGGTGTCATCAGGGCAGACTGGATCAAGGCGAGATACTGCCCAGTGTGTTATCACCATTGACCGCCTGTGCCCCAATTGCGCAGCACCTTTGGGCAGTATTGTGGATAAAAGTGATGTTGAGGGCGGAGTCCTAGCTGGAATTATCTTAGCTTGTATAATTGTTGTCGTGTTAATTGTTTTGGGCATTCTCTTTTTGGTCTATCGACGTAACAACACTGGAAAGTCAGTGCCCAACTACTCCAGTGATTCCACTCTGGATTTAGAACCTCCACCGCAGCTTCCATATGACAGATCTGGATACGCCGACATCATCCGGATCAACTGTCCTCCTGCAAATAACCAGCTGGTATCCGATGTCTCTGATCAGTCACACAATTCAGCATCCAGTGGCCGAGGCTCTGCTGAAGCAGAGGAGGAGGATGAAGAAATCAGTAGAATTAACTCCAACAGTTTTTTACACTCTTCCCAAGCATTCCGTCAGAAAGCTATGCCAGACTCTGGCATACAACACGATGATGAAACTTTGTCGGAACCAGCAGTGCAGACCCATCAGGAGTACCTGGCCAACCTTGGCATCGATTCCTCTAAGATTGGCAAAGTCAAACCTGTGATAAGAAATAATAATATTTATAGTAACAGTAATAATAACAGTAATAATAATAAAAAACTTGGGCGATCGGCTGAAAGTATGCACCAGTTTTCTGACGAAGGAGGAGGTGAAGGAGGTGTAGATACCGACCTAGAAAAGTTGACAGATCTAGAAACTGATGATGAAGCTGCAACCCTGGAGGTTCGAACCCAGGGTATGAGTTTCCATGAGCCAGAAACTCACAACCTGGGGTCATTGTCAAATGTGGTCAACACTGAAGAGGTTAATGGCGGCTCCTACAACTGGGACTACCTCATCGACTGGGGCCCTCAATATCAGCCCCTGGCTCATGTTTTCTCAGAAATAGCCAAGCTGAAAGATGAAAGCGTCACTCCCAAGAAACAGCCAATCAAAACAGTTCCTCAGCGCCAGTATAGCTCATCCCTAAAGCAGCCTCAGGTGCGGACAGTTCCCCCACCAATTATAACTAATGCTCCTCCTTTGTCAGTTCCTCTGACAACCAATCAAAACAGTGACAGTTTAACATACCCACACCACAGCCATGCAGTCAGAGGAAACAGCCATCAGCTACAGCATCAAGGGCACCAACCTCAGGCCCATCACCATGGACTCTTCCATCACAACCACAGCCACCACCCCAGCAACGTGCAACAACAGATGCCAAAAACTAGTCACATACCTCAACATCATCAGCTAGCCCAACATCCACCCGCAGCTCACAGCTCCCAGATGTTTAGCCCTCATCTCTGCCCCTTCCCCAACACCCGCTCACCACAGCAAGTACGGCATCAACAATTCCACACTCCACGAATGGGCATCCACCCACACATCCACCCACCCCCTCCACTGCTGCCACCTCCACCAATTCCACAACAGCAAACCTCTTCCTCTGGTAGCAGATCACACCCAAACTCCACTCATGCGTCCACTATGAACATCTCCCTTCCTTCCCTCCCTAGATCTCCAATCAGCTACGAGTCTAGTCTCACTTCTGCAGTTATGACTCCTTCCTTGACGCCATCACTGTCTCCCCTGGCAACCAGATCCCCATCTATCTCACCTGTGGTCAGCAGTGGTCACAACACACCTGGAAAGTCCAGTTCTAGACAAAACTTGACCCAGAGGTCCTCCAAGGCACAGAGTATGTCTTCAGGTTCTGAGAGAGAATTCACTATATAGGCTGAATCTGTGTGTAGACCACACATGACATGGCCACATAATAAAACTAATTTGTCAGAGGACACGTTTTAAACTACTAGTAGTCTACGAGGTTTTTTTGTCAAGTCTAGGCATGGGCAGATAATTTATTATGTGTTCATTTATACCCCTGAAAATGGAAATGAAATTCATATTTATCTGATGGCGCATTCCTGTTCACACACACACACAAATTAAACATAATAACACAGTTATCTGATACTGCGTTTTTATTAGTTGATGGTAAAGCCCATACACATCAAAAACTGTTGATGACCCAGATGTAGAAGTACTGTCAATTGATTGGTTGAACCCTAAGATATTCTTGTTTAAAATGTCACTCACTATATTACAGTTTGAATTTCAAAATTATGACCAAAAATATATTCCTTTCAGTAGTTATACTTTCTGTTTTTGTCTTGTTGAGCAGATAAATAGTTCAGTAATTTTCTAGCAGTCTCCAACAAACAAACAGTTAAATATAATCCTTTCTGTTCTTGTTAACTGTGTTCCTACAAATGATCCATTATAATATCATCATTGTTTTGATCTGTAGTGTATCTAGTATTTTTTTTTTAAAATATATATTTATCAACACTATATACTTAACAATTGTTATTTAACAATACTAAATTCTTAGCTGTATTTTTTTATATGTAATTACAATATTTTTATCTGTTGGTATTTATCAGCATTATATTCTAATCTTTTTGTATCTGTCAGTACTATATTGTTATCTTTTGATTTTTGTCAGCATTTAATTCTTATCTATTCCTGTTCTTCACAATTGGGTTCCACTCCAGTACATATACAAATCTCATCTGGTTATCTCTGTGTTGACATCTAGCAGAGTTTATGTTGTTTTGATGGTCTGGAGGCTGCTGAAGATGGGGACAGAGCATTTATAGGAATATCCAGAGTGCTGTGATGCCAGTTCTTCACTGGTCTCAACTCAGTCTGAAGATATGAGCTTGAGATTGTCATTACCATCAAAGACTGACATTTACTGAAAAAAAAATATGATGCAAAATAAGAGATTTTTGAGGTGTGCTCTGTGAGTTAAGTCCTGTTATTGATTTTGATGTGTTAGTGTATATTTAAACAGAATACGAAATCATGAAATCAGACGAATGCTAGGAATAAAGCCAGTCTTACAGGTCATCAAAGAACAACAAATGAAGTGGTTTGGACACCTAACAAGAATGCCCTGGTACTATTCGCCACAGCGAGCCACACTAAAACATTACAACGGGTATAGAGTGAGTGGAAGACCTCGAAAAAGATGGAGTGATGGCAATAAAAACAGCCTTACAGAAATGAACATCAGTCTTAATAGTGCTCTTGACAGAGCTCATCAACAAACATTACATCTCCTGCCGACACTTCGATGAGTTACAAGGTGGAAGAGAAAGTGAAGGAGAAGAAGTGTATATTAAAATGTTGCATACTTAGTCTCCCCATGTAGGGAGACAGGACCTAATCTTTTTTGGGAGGGGAAAAACAGACCTAATGCCACCTAATGAGCATGCCTTAAAGTGACTAAAGATGCATTGAAATCAGATGTAAATACAACCTGCCAAACATTTTTTAAGAGTGAACAAGTGTGTGAACAGGAAGACCATCCGGGGAAGAAAAAGGGCCATCCTGTCTATTAGAAGGGTTAGAATTAGGCCAGAGATGACCACCATTTACTTGACCGGCACAAACAGGTCATCATTCTACGTGTCTGGGCAGGACACACCAAACTCAAAAAGCATATGCACAGACTTCGTCCAAACAGTTCACCACGGTACCTGTGTAGTAAGCTGTGCGCACAAACCACAGACAATGTCTTGTAAGACTTACCTTGTACAGTCCATTAACTCTTTGAGTACCAAGGAACGCATTATTCGTTCATAGGTTCTTACCTAGAAGCTAAATGAACGCAAGATGCGCTGATTTTGTGTCTCTTTTGACTACCCTTGGGCCTGTAATGCTAAACCTCCTGGGACTCAAAGAGTTAAGAAGGCAATATTGGCCCAGTTGTGTAGAACTAAAGAGGACCTCCCTAAAATGGCCAGTTTTATCTCACGAATTTGTCGTTGTAAGTCAAGGAAGTGATCACAAGAGGAAGATAAAATATACTTCTTCATTTCAGGCATCCACTTCTAGCGTGAAGTGTACAAGTATTTTTGTCTGTTTTGTTGACTGGTGTCTTGTATACCATTGAGTGCAAGGACACTACGTAGATTTGTTTTCCTGTTGGCATAATTTTGTACACAAGCATGTAATAAGCAGTGAAAAATGAAAAATCTCACTTCCATGGCAGTAGGAGATGATTGTTTTGCTGCCCTTCCACGTGATGTGTCATTTACATGTAATAACATATTTTTTTCATGTCAGACTGTTCCGTTATATAACATATTGTTTATTATTATGGACTTCTTGTTGATTACCGTACAAGTATATCAGATGATGCTTTCAATGTTACAGTAGTAATCTGTAACGATAACTGTCTTCAATAAAATGAACTTTAGCAGAGGCGTTTGCATGATGACAAGAGTTATGTTCCATGATAACAAGAGTTATGTTCTCCGATAACAAGAATTATGTTCATTGATAAACAGTTATGTTCTTTGCCAGTTGCGATGAAGTACATTAAATATGCCTGTTTCCATGAAATTTATTTCTCTTCTTTCTCTCCTTTTCTTTTTCCCCAATGTCTCTCTCTTCCATTTCTGTCTCTCTTTTTCTTCTATCTGTCAGCCTTTTCCTCCCTATACCTACCTACCTTACCTACCTATCTTCCGGTTAAAATGGACGCTAGACAGCGGCGCTGTTCGGAGCAGAGGCAAATTTTTTGCTTCTGCCGGACGGTGGCCGAAGTATTTTTGCTCCATTTGTAGACTGGATATAGTTTCGTCGCCCAGCTTTTGAGTTGAATGCATGGCGTGACCCTGTGAGCTGCAGATTGCATTTGGAATGTCTTTTTTCGACTGTGACCAACGTGGTGTGAATTGTAGATTCAGAAAATGGCGCGATGCCTGTCGTGCAATGCTGGCAGGGCCCGTATTAAAATTGATCGCGCGGGCAACTGCTGATCTGTTGGCGACAAGTTCTGCTATCATCAATGATGAACTGCATTTCTAGTGTTGGACTGTTTGTGTTAGCACTTCGGATGGCTACCATATGCTTTAATGCGAGTGTATGCTAGATATGCTGAGACAGCAGTCTGTCAATTTTTCCACAAGGGACTGTGATAGACATTCTGAGTGTTTTTCGCTGGCACAGGAGCGGAGCAAAGATGGGGCGACCCGTTTGCTATGAAGCTGAAACTAAGACTACCACACTACCAGACTACCTACCTATCTTTATCTATGTCTTTTTTTTTTTTTTTTTTTTGGTCTGTCTGTCACTCTGTTTCTTGTCTTGCTCTCTGTTTCTTGTTATGCTCTCTCTCTCTCTCTCTCTCTTTCTTTCTCTCTCTGTCAGGAAAGGTATGTCCTCTTCCATACAGGTAAAATTTAGTTTATTTCAGTATCAATGAATAGTCCACAATTCTGTAACACAAACTATGTACAGAACGTGTTCAGACATCGTATGTTTATGACTGTATATGCATTATGTACAGAAAGTATGTACAGAGATTGCCTGTGTGTGGGTGTATGTTACAGGTCATCATCATCCTCATCATCATGCTGCTGGTACTTGACAGAACAGTGTTCCCATCACAACTCACAAAAGCATCTTTTTTCTCCCTGCCAGTTTTTCCATCACAGTTTCTTACATGTCAACCCATCACCTCACCCGTCACCTCACCTGTCACCTGACCCGTCACCTCAGGCTGGATTGGCTGTTACAGATGCCCTAATTATAATTTCCTAAAAGGGTGAATGAAGGTTATCTGGGCTTGTCCTGTTAGACTGCCATCAGCAGTGAGATTCTTATGTCACATGTTGTCAAACCTTCAAGCCTTGTTTGTCTGCCATCACCACTGAGATTCTTTAGTCAAATGTTGTCAAACCTTCAAGCCCTGTTTGTCTGCCATCACCACTGAGATTCTTTAGTCGCATGTTGTCAAACCTTCAAGCCCTGTTTGTCTGTCATCACCACTGAGATTCTTTAGTCACATGTTGACAAACCTTCAAGCCCTGTTTGTCTGCCATCACCACTGAGATTCTTTAGTCACATGTTGTCAAACCTTCAAGCCTTGTTTGTCTGCCATCACCACTGAGATTCTTTAGTCGCATGTTGACAAACCTTCAAGCCTTGTTTGTCTGCCATCACCACTGAGATTCTTTAGTCGCATGTTGACAAACCTTCAAGCCTTGTTTGTCTGCCATCACCACTGAGATTCTTTAGTCGCATGTTGACAAACCTTCAAGCCCTGTTTGTCTGCCATCACCACTGAGATTCTTTAGTCACATGTTGTCAAACCTTCAAACCTTGTTTGTCTGCCATCACTACTGAGATTCTTTAGTCACATGTTGTCAAACCTTCAAGCCTTGTTTGTCTGCCATCACCACTGAGATTCTTTAGTCACATGTTGTCAAACCTTCAAGCCTTGTTTGTCTGCCATCACCACTGAGATTCTTTAGTCACATGTTGTCAAACCTTCAAACCTTGTTTGTCTGCCATCACTACTGAGATTCTTTAGTCACATGTTGTCAAACCTTCAAGCCTTGTTTGTCTGCCATCATCACTGAGATTCTTTAGTCACATGTTGTCAAACCTTCAAGCCTTGTTTGTCTGCCATCCAGACTAAGATCCTCTGATCTGATGTTGGCAGACGTTTCAGGTAGTGGCCCATAGGGAATGACAGTACACATACCAGGTTTCCCTGTCTCCACAAATTTTGCAGCCAAAGTGTCTCCTAAATTCTGTGTGTATCTACATTCTAGTTTAAAATTTTTCATCTACCATAAACAATCTAATTAGTAGGATAACTGTTACATCAAATTATAAATTTGTCCATCTACCATAAACAATCTAATTAATAAGGT